TAGAATTAAATTAATGATCTATATACTATGAATTTAAAAAGTATATATCGGTTTTTTTCACTCGTGTATCCTCTAAGTTTTTATTGACCTGTGAAATCTCAAATATTGATAATTGTTAACAATGTTTCGCAATACAATTTCACCGAGTTTCACTTATATTTTGGATATGAGTGCCTTGTACGATCGTCACGCATTGATTCGCTGTCGGCAATGACTATGCATCAGGAATACTGATCGGTTGCCTTACGTTCGGTCGTAATGACGTAATGGTCACGGTCATGTTATGGTCAAGAGAGGACAAATTATCATAAACTTTTTTATTAGTATGTTAAATGTGTGATGTCCTACACCTGTATACCCTGATGATAAAATCAGTTTGTACCCTTATGGAACTAATGATAAAATGTGGCCAAGATATAGTAAGATACGACAGATGCTTCATATCTTGATCACACACAGTTTTGCCCCTAAAATTATAGGTTTTATTAAGAAACATAGAAAAAAACATTTCAGTTCAGCAACTAGGTAAAACATTACTCGTTGGGCCTGTTAAAGGAATTTATTTTTATTATGATAAGGCTAAGTTTCTATGAGTGTGAGAAGATTTCTATAATCTCCAAAGTAAATCTAAGTTAAAAATTGTAAAAAAAAATACTTCTTTGTTTATTGTCTTGTGTGCGTAAAAGAGTATTCTTCAATTGTAAAATAAAAATGAATACTTTACACATTTTTTTACGTTACGCTTTTATTATCTTGGTTGCTTATTCAATTAAATTCTAACATAAGTGTTGAAATCATTAAAAAAATTAAACGTTCCATCATACACTCTTTGTTTAACTTTTCTCTAAGAATCTTCGCACGAACTTTCGCAGTCGTGAGAATTGCGATTTAGCATCTCTCTCTAACAGTTGATGTTGAAATGAGATACGCTATTCGTGATTTATCTTTAAAGTAATCAGCTGTTATGGTTGTCGAAAATCCAGTGTAAAAGTTATATCCGTTTTGATTTAGAGATACCGCACTAACAAGAACTTTCAACTCATTGTTAACACATATTTGCAGTATTATAAGGTACACTAATTGCAAAAGAGGAAAACAATTTAGAAGGTGGATAGACCAGATTAAGGTACCAGCAGGTAGAATATGGCACAGCGTAAACAGGAGGCCTTTGCCAAAAAGAGAACACATTTGTCAAAAGAATGAGATGATAGAAATACGTATATAAATGTCTTTAAGCCTATTTTTTATTAATATTTGCTATTCAATCACTGGAATTTGACCTGCCTTTCCTATACTAAATAATATATAGTCCTGAAGGATATGATGAAAAATCCAGGGAAACATCTTCTCTCGGCTTCGCACAGCTAAATAAACAGCGGGATAAAGTAGCATTATATGGTGTAAGAATTTTTGAAGTCCATCCACCAGTTTTTAATCCGTTTTCATTAATTCATATTTTCTCTTTATAGTACAAAAAATAAATATTATAAATTAAAATGCGCTTAACACGTTAATAAAGGTGTACTTTCTCGTTTCGGAATCATAATTTGTTTTCTCTTAAAAACGAGGCATAATGACTACTTATTGTGTTAATTTGAGCTGTTAGCATAATTTTAAAGAACCATTATGATAATCGTATTAAGAAAAGTCCAGAATATTTTAGTTTAATAATTATAAATGTTTAATTGAGGTGTGTTAAGTATCAGGGATTTAGAACCTGTTAATAACACGATAGGTATATAATATATATATATATTATAAAAACGCAAAATAAATTATATTGATTACAATAGTGTTATATGTAACAGTGTAAGCATTATGATGATGGCATTATACTTAAATTAAATTAAGGCTTCTTTCATTTCATGTCTTATTTGATTTATAATTAGGTGGGCTGAAAAGTTCGTAAGCTAACATAGAAAAAACCATTTTTTTTGATAGAATTTGATTTGAGAGCAGGACAAAGATTATAGCGGTCATAAAAATTTTCGATACCATTTTTATGGGTAGGATTTGTCTTTCGCCTCAAAATAGGCTTCTGTTTCGGCGATTACCTCTTCATCAGCCCAAAATTTCTATCCGGCGAGAATGCTCTTGAGGTCTGAGAACAGGAAAAAGTACTATAAATAGCTAACAACTATTAAAAGGGATTAACACAGAATGAAAGTACTCAAGTTACATAAACATTAAAGGGAAAACGTATTCTTTTTAAACGAGCTAATTACGTTCACCTAAATAAATAACTTTAAATGTCGTAAGTTCAATTATGAAATTATTACACGTACAATCAGCAAATTAGCTGAAAAAATTAATATGATATAAAAATGAATTCTATTTATCTGAGTTTCATTTTGCTGACGGGTGTAACAAAATAGACATGATTGCTATACATAGATCAATTTTTGGTGGAATATATTTAAATCATATTTATTCGCCGACAAAACAACTAATTTATTTTTTACTCAGCTTGGTATTCAAATTATTTTTCTTGCTGACAGTACCGATTTTATTGACTCAAAGACCTGAATTTAACATCTTTGCAAACCACTTGCGAATTATATTGCGCGTAAGTTCAAGGCGATTGCGAAAAATATCAAGTGATTATGACGGACAAATTATAAATATGTATGTTAAAACTTTTCATAAGTATAATTTTATAATGAAACATTAATTTTATACATAGGTACTGGTACTAAAGTTCTGAATTGTAAATTTTTATTTATTTATGTATTTATAAGTCCTAAAACAACATGCATGTACGCTTAAAAGATACAAGAAAATATGACGTCACAAATTTTACACACACACACATCCATAAAATTTCGAACTAGCAAGGAAAAAATAACCACAAGCAAACATTAATAAGGTAAAATTAAATAGAAATTCCTATTTGACGAAATGCACCTATTTTATAATAAAAAATAAAACAGTGGCACTAAAACCTTTTTCGGTCTGGGCCTCAGATTTCTGTATCTGTTTCATAATCATTTGTCAACTAATAGGCAAGTAGGTGATCAGCCTTCTGTGCCTGACACACGCCGTCGACTTTTTGGGTTAAGGCCGGCCTCAAGATGTTTTCTTTCACCGTTCGAGCGAATGTTAAATGCGCACATGTAAAGAAAGTCCATTGGTGCACAGCCGGGGATCGAACTTACGACCTCAGGGATAAGAGTCGCACGCTGAAGCCACTAGGCCAACACTGCTCCATTTTATAATATGCCTATTTTATAATATATGTACCTTTTTTATAATAGTAACAAATAATTTTATATAATAGCAAGGAGCTACCCCGCGAACTTCATTTCGCCTTAATGTGATTTTACTTAGCCTACCTTATAAGGACCTACGTACCAACATATGGAACATTTTTCTATGTCACCCCATAGAGACTGTTCGCTTTTCCAGATAAAAACAGTTTTTTAGGCTTTTCCGAACAATTCATCATATTTTCTCTTCATAAAAACCTATTCAATTATATTTAATATATTTGTATATTCCGTTTGTAAGGCACAGTTTGACCCACGAACTAACAGTATTTCCCAATACACGTGTTCAAATGTTTTACTGCAGTGCAACCGTTATACGGCATTTAACATAAATTTACAAGCTAACTACTTGGTGTCACTTTGTACATACAAATTTTCTACAAAGTAACTTCTAACATGATCTCATGTTAGAAGTTACTTTGTGTTAGAAACGTAAACTCTGCTAATGATTTCAAGTTTATTTAAAGCTTCAATGCCAGATAAATAGTTTATTATATTGTATATATTTCTATGGACTCCCTAATGCTAAAATGATTTCTCGGAAGAGTCCCAGGAATTCCAGGTTTTTCTATTTGCTTTCTTCTTTATTTGGCCCATCACGACTTCTTCTATCCATTGTAATTTCATACAATGGATAGAACATTGTATTTACTGGAATAATTATCCTTTTACCTTGTATGCCATTCTGTAAGTCCTTTAATATAGGTACGCAAGAGGTAAACTTAGGTATATATATAAGTAGGTGATTAAAATCTATATCATTTATAATTAATATCTAAATAATCTATGTACCGTTCAGCTGTTCATTTTTGTAAGTAGTATATCTTATCTGTGAAACTGTTTTAGGATACTTCCAATATTCTAACTACTTATTCTTTCTTGGCCTTGTTTCTACTATAGTGATGTATTAGTTTGTTTCCTAATACATATATACCGAAGTTGAAAGAATTATTGTTTACTGGATTTCGAATAAACCAATAGGTTCACTCAACCACAATAATGATAATATTAAAATCTAATTAATTAAAGATAACTATTAAAATCTCTTCAAAAGGATACTTTAAGATAATTCTTTATTCGCTCTCTACAATACAGTAAAACATTAACGTCAAAACAAACAAAAATCGACTTGTTTTTGTCCGATTCGTTCCGACTTTAATTCGTGTTCGGCAAAACGGTTTTAAACGTTGTTCGTAATTTTCTTAATTGTTTATTTCTATTAACAGTCACTGCCGGATTACATCAGAAAGTAGACAATTTGTTACGGTCGCAGTACCTTAACTTTTATTAATATCTACACATTTTCTACTGTTTTTTACGGAAGATGGCTATATTTCATTTATCATCTATAAATATATTGTGCATTGTTTACACTAAGGCCGTGTCTAAGCTGTAATAGATGTCATGTAAATCTCTATTGTGTTGTAGATAAATAAAAACGTTTTTATTGTCCACTAACTCTTCGGAATTTTAGTAACCCCGATTTTAAATGCAGGTTTGGCCTGCAGGTTGATTAGTTTCGTTGATAACAGTTGCTCTAACAACGTGACAAGACTGCCAGTGCTCAATATTATTTGGCGTTTTACATTGAGAATATACAATGCATAATTAAACACATTTTATATGTATTTATTAGGCAAAACTAATGCATATAAAGTAAATCCTACGTTGCCATGGTATGGCACTTTATATCCAGAAATATAATTAATACCTAGTGACAATACCAAGTCAAGAATGGACAGCCAAGAATCCAGAAGTTCTCGGGCCAGCGATTCCCCTGGAGACACTATGAATGATGTGTATGCAGCCTGGCGTAAGTCATTTAGGTTTAAAGCTGTAACTTCACTCAAACTAATAATCAGTAAAATAATTTAATAGTAGTTATAATGTTCAGATATTCACAAAAAATACACAATTTGATGTAGTTAGACTCTAAAAATATATTATATTTTATGTTAAGAGCGGGTAAGAAGAACTGGCAAGAAACTTTCCGCCACTCTTTTTAATCGCCAAGTATTGTCATACAAATTGTTTGAACTGGAGCAAATCAATCCCAAGGATTAGGATCATTTAAGTATTCCTCAAATTTATAAAACGCTTTATTAATTGCCGTTTCAGTAAGTCATAGTAAAAGTGCAAGTCTGAACCTAATCTCATTAAATCTTAGTACTACAAAAGATATTCCGACTCCAATGTCGAAATATAGGTACAATGCCTAGAATGACGCGGTCTAAAGTAGAGCTCTATCTAAAAATAGCCAACAAAAACGTATGAAAAATTGCTATCACTACTGTATGTTACTGGTACATATAAAGCTAGTCACAAGTCGACTACTATTGCAGTAATTACTTTGCAAACTTACTCAGCTAATATAAATCTCTTGACCTTCACGTGCGGCCAAACGCAAATGTCTCATTTGATACAAGGCTGGTATTTAAGGACTTATGCAAAATAAGATTTACGTAACTGCTAACAATTTGCTGTTTAACGTTCGTATAATGAATATTACAAACAAATTGGTTCGTGAAAATTATTTCGGTTGTATCGGGGGCTTCAGTATCATATATTTTGGAAATAAATAGAGCGATTTAATTTTTTAGAGTCTAACTACATCAAATTTTGGAAATAAATAGGTCATGGAATTAGCATTCTAATATGGTGAAAGAATTTTTGACGATGTATAGTCACAGTCTTTTGAAGTGTCAGTGGAACTTTTTAATGAGGAAGGAAAGTATTCAACATATATTTAGTAAAATAATTATTTTTTATTAACTTGGAAACAAAACAGCATTCGTGGGTTAGGTATAAACAAAATAAAAAAATATTTTCAAGCAACAGTAGTGTGTAGTAATTGTTATACATGTATTTACTAAAACATGCTTTTGTAATAATTTAATATTTCTTTATTTCACTATTGTGTTGGTTGTGTTTCTCTTAGTTTCACCGTTACAATCCACGAGAAACAATATCTATTTAAAGCTATATTAAAATGGATATTTACTATATTGCTCTAGAAAGTATTGGCATATTACGGTCGTGACAATATGTGATTGTCAATCTCATGATGACAAGAAATGTTTATTTCTTAGTCACAAATGTTGCAAATTCTCTAGTCAACCACTCAAAATACTTCAACTTTTTATTTTGTTGGGCTTTTTGTGTAGGACCTGAATAGGTCGTAAACTGTTTACTAAGTGTCAAGGGTTTATTAAATTATATTTTCGATAGCATGATGATTTTGTGTTAAAAACACATTCAAACCATACCCCTTTGGGATTTCTTCAGCACCAGTGACAGACGCTAGACGACAAGTTGAAAATGGAACAAAATAGAGATACTGCTCTTAAAATTATGTGCGATAGCTCATTCGAACCGGAATGACGCCTAGAAAAATGTGCTAAAAGCGTGTATTAGCACATAAAAAATTGCAAAAGTTATAGACCATTAAAGATGAAAAAAAATGGAATTTAGTTTTTTGCCAATATTTAATAAACTATTAATATTTAAGAAATTTCAAATAAAGATTCTGAAAGAGGAGGAAATTTCCAATAAAAACTCTCAGCTCCCGGAACTCTATCTCCATTATTTATAACTTTAATTTAACGCTGAAAATAGGTCTGTGCGTGACATTTTTAGGATTCGCGCGTGGCGTCAAAAGCGACTACGGCACATTAATTAATTTATTTAAGGTATTGAATATTTTTTTTAAATTTGAAAAAATTATGGTGTGTTCTGAACACTATAATTAATTTATTCCCGTTGGAAATTTTACTTAAAGTTAATTTTTCAACAAGTTAAATAATTGTTAACTAACGAAATTTTCTCGAACGACCGTCTTAATTGTAAGTGAAAAAAATGTTTTAATAATGGTCGTAAAAATATTTCGCTTCGTAGAGCCTTTCTTACATACATACTTAACAAGATCGTGCCATAAAAGTTAAAGAAATATTTATACTTTGTTTATAACAATTTTTTTACTTAAACAAAAACTTAAAAATCCAAGTAATGTTGTTAAAAAATTTTTTTTTTCTAAATCATCATATTATCGTTTTTATATTAATACAAGATATTTATTGATTTGCAAAAAAAAATTTCCCGCCATTTGTTGATAATTTTTTTTAAACAAATTGATTAAATCAATTGTTTTAAAAAAAAAATTTCTAACTTTATTACATTACAAATATTATGATTGTTAAAAAAAAAAATTTCCTTAATAACATATTTTAATTGTTTATAATCGTTTTTTTATATTTCTTTTGTTTAAATAATTAGTTAAGAAATTTTTTTTTTAAAAATCATAATTCACAATCCTCTATAAAGTAACAGAAAAAAATTTTTTTTTAATCAACAATTCTATTGTTTATTAACTTACCAATTTGTTATAAACAAATGTTCAACTTTTTTATTTTTTTTCTAAAACTTCTAAAATTAACAAAAACAAACATATATAACAAAGTCTATAAAAAAAAAAAAAATTTTTTTAATAAAAGTAATATTCATGATAATCAAAAAATTTAAAAAAATGTTTTTCTATATTTTGTTATATATGGTTGTTTTTGTTAATTTTAGAAGTTTTAGAAAAAAATATAAAAAAGTTGAACATTTGTTTATAACAAATTGGTAAGTTAATAAACAATAGAATTGTTGATTAAAAAAAAATTTTTTTCTGTTACTTTATAGAGGATTGTGAATTATGATTTTTAAAAAAAAAAAATTTCTTAACTAATTATTTAAACAAAAGAAATATAAAAAAACGATTATAAACAATTAAAATATGTTATTAAGGAAATTTTTTTTTTAAACAATCATAATATTTGTAATGTAATAAAGTTGGAAATTTTTTTTTTAAAACAATTGATTTAATCAATTTGTTTAAAAAAAATTATTAACAAATGGCGGGAAATTTTTTTTGCAAATCAATAAATATCTTGTATTAATATAAAAACGATAATTTGATGATTTAGAAAAAAAAAATTTTTTAACAACATTACTTGGATTTTTAAGTTTTTGTTTAAGTAAAAAAATTGTTATAAACAAAGTATAAATATTTCTTTAACTTTTATGGCACGATCTTGTTAAGTATGTATGTAAGAAAGGCTCTACGAAGCGAAATATTTTTACGACCATTATTAAAACATTTTTTTCACTTACAATTAAGACGGTCGTTCGAGAAAATTTCGTTAGTTAACAATTATTTAACTTGTTGAAAAATTAACTTTAAGTAAAATTTCCAACGGGAATAAATTAATTATAGTGTTCAGAACACACCATAATTTTTTCAAATTTAAAAAAAAATATTCAATACCTTAAATAAATTAATTAATGTGCCGTAGTCGCTTTTGACGCCACGCGCGAATCCTAAAAATGTCACGCACAGACCTATTTTCAGCGTTAAATTAAAGTTATAAATAATGGAGATAGAGTTCCGGGAGCTGAGAGTTTTTTATTGGAAATTTCCTCCTCTTTCAGAATCTTTATTTGAAATTTCTTAAATATTAATAGTTTATTAAATATTGGCAAAAAACTAAATTCCATTTTTTTTCATCTTTAATGGTCTATAACTTTTGCAATTTTTTATGTGCTAATACACGCTTTTAGCACATTTTTCTAGGCGTCATTCCGGTTCGAATGAGCTATCGCACATAATTTTAAGAGCAGTATCTCTATTTTGTTCCATTTTCAACTTGTCGACTAGACTACAGACGCTAGACGTTCGTACGTTCCGTTAGCGGTTAGAGCAATCACATACAAACGAAAAGCGCCGTCGTCTTTTGCTTCACAATTTCATCTTCGTTACAATTTCTTCATGTGTAAATAGACTGGTTTATGTATAAGGTAATTAATGTAAAGGAAGTAAGACCGAACAGAATTATAAGCGAACGTAAAGATGCAGTCGGAAGTTATATTAACAAAGAATTTCTTTGGGGCCGGCGTAATTGACGTTCACGGACCATTAATGTATTGGCTATAAATTGAGTGTGTGAACGTTTCTAAATGTACCGGTAGTTGGATAATGATTCCAATCGCCGGAATCTATCAAACGGACTTGTAACGGGTATTGCTTGTAGATGCAACGGTCTTGTAAAATGAAGAAGAATTTACGATTTTGTATTATGTAATTTCTTTGACAGCTTTGAGTTTAACCAACTGATATATGTAAAAACTTGTACAGATAAGTATCTTTTAAATTTTAATTTTTGTAGAAATATAGAAAGAAATAAAGACAGACATTTATTATACAAATTAATAAAAAAAGATATATTTAGGTAGTTGAGAAGAAAGTGCTTCCTTTTGAAATGTTAACAGTATTTGTCTATATTTTCTACATAACTCTCACATTTTATAATTAAACTATTGCACAAAAAAAATATCTGCCGTTTCAATATAGGACATTTTCAGAAGATTTTGTTTAAGATTGTTCGTGAATATATAAAGTTTTGAATCGTTATTGAAAATTTTATGCACGAAACACAAAGTTCTCAAAGCAGTAAGACCTTAAAACCGTTGAATATTCGCTACGTGAAAATTAACGATTGTGTATATTAAACTATAATATATTAAGGGAAAACAAAAATATAAAACTACACAATATGCCATTATTTAAAAAAAAATCGTGAAATGTTATCACTACATACAAAAGTACAATTAGAACTATAACAACGTGTGTACCTACTTACGTACACGCGTTAGAAGTTATACTTCTTTGGCGTAACAAGATTTTAATCTTGTTAGAAGAGAATTTTTTTATCTTTCGCCTTATTCTACGTTTGTAGAAAAAACGACACTAACAATAGAAAAAATTGTAACGTAAAAAACTACACTACTTGGAGAAATATATAGATAAAATTCTAAATAAATGTCGGGGCAAACAAAAACTTGGAAATTCCGAACATAGAATACAAGACAATGAAAAACAGGTGTTTAGAAGAATGTATGGCCTCGTCCGTGTCTTTTTGAAATTACTAGTCATTAATAAAATGCTATTTTTGGACAAAAGCACCACAATGTATGTAGTGTGGACTCAGTCCTAGCTAAATAAACCAGCCTAGTCCTTCCAGAAGCTCAGAAGTTTTATTATTTCAAACATTCATCATCATTAGACATGTTGTATATGCCTCATAAACGGTGTTGGTTAGTATACAATATAGTCTCGCAATTTTGTTATATGAAAGTAATGTTAGACATTTTCCATCGCATTGATTGATGATTTAGCTAAATGTGTATGTTGATGGAAAATTACGGTATAATTTCACCTTCCTCCGGATTTGTTATTAGCTATTAAGAATACAGCTACCACATACAATGTTAGCTGTGTTTGAAAGTAGGTTAATATAATAAAATATAAAATACACAGCATGCCTTGATATTTTAGCTCATTGTTTTTCTTGTTAACGAATGGGATACGTAACTTTTTGATATTCGATCCTCAATCGTACTTTAACTAAGGTTTTATAAGGAACTTTGAATGACACAAGTACCTGAATTTAAATTTTCCAGTTAAACCAGCAAGTATTTAAACTATTACTTTATAGCGTAGTTAGTAATATTACCTCTAGTTCTGTGCCTCTTTTCCGAAGAAATAAAAATCCAGTCAAACAGAAACTACACCTTATGCTAGTTTTAAACTTGTCGACTTATTTCTGAACTTATTATTTTCAGATGAAATGCTAGAAAGCGAGGGGGCAGGGTTGGCAGCCAGGGTAGCGGAACTAGAAGTCCGATGTTCTCGGCAAGCAGAGGAGCTCCTGTGTCTTCGTTCAACCCTAGCCGATGCCCTTAGAAGACTTAATGTTCTAGAAGGCCGAACGCCAGCCACTACAACTTCAACCCAGAGAAATGGTGCTTACACAGGTAAATTACAGGAGAACTGATAAAAAGATGAATTTAAATCTCCTGCTACTGTCATTGAGCTTCTTGTTTAAGCAAGAACCGAAAAATATAGATATTTACACATAGACATAACATTTATTACTAACAAAAACACACACACACACACATAAACACACATAAAAACAATAAACAAAGCAAAAAAAAATTAAAATTAAAAATATAATGAGAGATATCAATTTTTTTCCCTTTTCCCTTTCGGTTCGTTTCAAGTGTGTAATGTGCGTGTGTTGTGGCTGTAATTGGCCCAGGCTCAGCATTATGCTGAGGAACAGACTGTTCCACAGCGCTGGTCATTCTGCCAGAAACCACCGCAGCTAGTTAGCGCCTCAGTCGCAAAAAAGAAAGAAAAAGAATGTAATAATACTTAGTAGAAAAAAATAATAATATATTTAGTAAAAGTTAGCAGTGTAAGTAATGAACTCTTGTGTAAAGGTGTATAATAAATACAATAAAATTAAAAGTTATTTACAGAGGTTTTTTCTGGAAAGCAAATTGAGGTATGGTAGGTGCAAGTTGCAACACGGGTGCATTATGAAAGATTTTTATCTTTCTACATGCAGACATTCCTACCTATGTAACTTATTATTTCTGTTATGAGTAGAAAGACAGGCACTTATCAGATAAAAAATCCTATGTTTCTGTATCGCACACTTCATTTCCCTTTTTCAAATGAAAATATCTGTTAAATACATATTTTAATAAAGAAATATCGTATATTCCAGGATCAACGGGGGGGACTCCTACTAGGGAGCTTCGTATAAGACAATCCGCTTATCGGGAACCAGCAAAACGCAGCTCCAGTTATGGCTCCAGTGCTTCATCATTACCTCAGAGGTGAGAATAGTCCTTTCAATGTACTTATTTCTCGTTATGTGAGTGGTGTCTAAAACTTCCAATTAGCAAGTCAGCCTTTTGTGCGTTCTAATGAACATATTTATTACTTAATTTAAATATCTTCTTTTTCTTAAAGACAAATTGCACTGTTTTAGCAAAAGCACGTAAGTCGTTTTACAATTAAGCGTTTCTTAACTTAAAACAGCTGCCTGTCGAGGTACTTTGGGTCCTACAAAAAAAACAGTATACCACCGATTCTTAAAAGGCCGGGAACGCAATTGCCTTCTAGCGGCGGTATCACTTAACATCAGGTGAGCCTCGTGCCCCTTGTTCTACAAGAAAATTACTCTCTTGTCTCTTTCTGTCAAATTATATTTACGCTTTGATAAAAAGAGATGCAACACTGATTTAGTTGTTCTAAATAAGGGAGATTAATCAAATATAATCCTGACAAGAGTCGTCATTGTTATACTAGCGGTCTATGATTATTTATAGAAACAGTAGTATCGAGAAAATTCATCAGACAGACATCAAACGTATTAACTTTTATTTTAATCGCAAGGTTTCATTCCTCCATCCGTGTTTTCTTCTGTATGATAGTAAAGGGTTTTCATCTTCTTTCAGACGCGGCCCACAGCACCAGTCCACCGGATCCCTGCAGTCGGACTCACCGGCATCGTCGTCTTCCCTCTCCCCCGCGCCTTCCCCGTCACCCCGTGCCACGCCCGCCCCGCATCACGTGCCGCAAGTCTCCCAGCCTTACAGGTAATTAAAACCACCAGGTGGCAAACATGCATATGTCTTATAAACAAAAATTACAAACAATGATTGCCCCGGAAACCAAACGTGCTGATAAAGATTTATTATTAAATTGATTTCACGTGCTTGTAAAGGTCGTCTTTATGAGGTTTTCGTGATAAGAGAATCTTAATCACGATTTTGATACAACTTATGTAATTTATTATTTCAAGGAATTAGTCACAGTTTATACAATTGGAAGAGCAGTGTTGGCCTAGTGGCTTTAGCGTGTGACTCTCTTCCCTGAGGTCGTAGGTACGAGCCCCGGCTGTGCACCAATAGACTTTCTTTCTATGTGTGCATTTAACATTCGCTCGAACGGTCAAGGAAAACATCGTGAGGAAACGGGCTTGCCTTAGACCCAAAGTCGACGGCGTGTGTCAGGCACAGGAGGCTGATCACCTACTTGCCTATTAGATTTACAAATAATCATGAAACAGATACAATCTGAGGTCCAGACCTAAAAAGGTTTTAGCACTTTAGATTTTTAGAAGTACAGTAAACCCTCCTATAACACGGTAAATTGGTTCCGCGTTGGAGACGCTTTATAGGAGTATTCTCTCAAAATGCGCTTGTATGACCCGTTATTATATATATATAACGCGTTATGTACAAACGATTCACGTTTAACTTTTCTCATTAAAAGAGATTTAAATCGAATATTAAGAAAAAACTATGTTATGAGCGAAATAAATTCATACAAATCATTATAATTGTCACAGTATAGAAATATAAACTATGCAATCCCCGCGTTATATGGAGGAATACCCGTGTTATACGAGTCACTGAAATCGCGTAATATGACTTCGTGGTATTTGTTTATTGTATATAGTATAAAACAGTAGCATCTAGAGTTAGTTTTCATATAGATATATCTATTGTTAGTTAATTTTAGATATATGGGCTTACAGGTTGTGTTTAAAATATACCGTACTAATCAACATACTAATAGCTTAGGAACGTTTTAGGAGCATTGCTTAGTATTTTGTTGTAATTTATTTTTTGTTTTAAGCACAAGTATCTAAGAGCCAGTATTATATTAGACGTAGTAGTCCAAATCTTGCAGTCTCAATAACAATAACATGCCTATTATTATTATTAGCGTCATGCTAGATATCTTTACTTTAGAATCTATTTGAATTGATTTGTTTGTGTCAACTACATAATCTGTAAAAATATATCTAGGCCATTAAATATTATATGATTGGTCTAGAGCAGTGTTTCCCCAACCGTTTTTGTGCCATGCCCCACCTTAGCCTCTCTAAAATTCGTGCACTATGCAACATGCATAATTTTTAATATTAAAATATTGAATTGTTCACTTAAGAAAAGAAATGACTAGGAAATTGTTAAAAAACATTTAATAAAAAACTGAATTAAATTCCAAATAATTTAGTAAATTTTCGAATTGGAATTAATCTTAAGAAACCTCATATTGCCCCCCTCTGGGGTGTGGGCCCGATGGGAAACACTGGCCTAGAGATAGCCAAGTCAAGCGAGAACTCGTGTCCAAAATTCTTTAGTAATAAGCAAACATATACTGCAGTGCCCATGTTTAGGGAATTGAAACGAAATATACTACTATCTTAAATCCATACAATTTATAATTTATGTTGGTATGTTATTGATATTGCCGAACAGTAGTAACGCTACCCTTTCGTAGATCGCGCAATAGTTCCACGTCAAGCAATCAAAGTCCCTCCCCCGGAGTGAGCCTCACCAAGAGGTGGAACTCCACCGGGGACTTCAACACGCAGGGTCTTTTGCCGAACGCAAGGTAAGTTGCTTCTGTTATAGTTTAGATGTTTTTGAGCTAGTTAAATCCGATTCAAATGACTAGTTTCATCGCTGTGAATTCAATTTCATTAAAATGATTTTAATGAAAGTGATGGTATAACACAAAGTGACATTCAATTGTCTTCTTGCATAATATAAAATAATTCTACTTAATGCCCTTTAAGAAAAGAGCATACCAATTATTAAAAAGCCGGCTACGCACTCGCAAGTTATATCACTTAACATCGGGTGAGCCACCAGACTGTTGTCCCCGGTTCAATAAGAAAAAAATCTATAATTTATTGATTCCCCCATTCACAAAAATTAAATCAATCTACTATACGAAAATACTTGTTAATTCCAGTCATATTTTGTTTACGGTGATTTGAAAATAGAACGATCAGTGCTTGAAGGCTGTACAATAAGGCTAATTTCGCGTATAAGAAAATAATGTTAATGAAACTTAAAAGCAAATTCTTCATCGTTTCGGACTGCGTTTAAATAGTCTGTTATGATTAACTACATTTGAATCGGATAAAACCTGTTAATAGCGCCATCTGTTGGCAGTAAAGCTTTTTATTTCTTGTACGCTTAGTTTTAGTTTGCAATTTGTTTATGCGTTATTTTTGTCTGTAGGTTTACAACTACAAAGTCGTTATTAAATCTATACTCTAAGCCGTCGCAAAATGGATCTATATTGAAACATGGGTAAGTTGTTTTCGATAATGGTGGTGGGATCAATTGTAACCAATTTCACGAGTTGGGTATTTCTTTTTCTAAAATTTCTCTATAAACGTATATATAATATATAGGTAAAACGTATATTTAGTACATCATACATACGTAAGTGGCGCCACCAGTAACAACTTTATGGTCTGTTAATCTGTGGCTTCAAATAAATATCATCCGTATATAGTTTCGTCAAGTATGTGTATCATATATGTAATGTTGGTTGAGGAATCTCGCTTCAATTTATTACAGCATACATATGACAATACCTTAAAAAAAAACAACCTGTCACAAATATCCAGTTCAGGAGCAGAACTGAAGCAGAATCGGTGACTGCTGAGTACAGCTCGTGATCTCCACTTAGACAGCAGACCGTGCCTCCGGGATCTGAAATACTTTTTAAGCACATACAGTCTAAGCAATTCCGGAAGAAAGCCCATGTAGTCTGTTCTGTTCACCCAATTTTCCCAGAAAAAACGTAGATACAAGAGGATACAGTAAAAATAGAATGGTAAAATTACTATTCTTTCATGTTAACAATCCGATAGTACGAATTGTTATGACAAGGATGTTGATGACAAAACGATTGTAAATGTCTTCTATAGTCTAGTTTTTTATATAAATCTCTCTAATGACATAATATTTCATAATTACAATTGTTCATGACAACTATGCAAAACAATTTTTCCCGCCTCTTGTTGCGTTTGAATCACCAGTTTTTACGTCTGGTTTATCAGGCAATTGCCTTATCAGATATATACCTCCTATCTATCAATCATCCATTAACCCAAATTCGAAATAACTTTATCCATATAGTTTACCAAGTACACTAATGAACCACAACAGAAAACCAGTTACCAGACTACCAGTTTGCAAGTCAAGGGCGTAGAGCGGTCAAGAAGAACTGCCAAGAAACTCTCCGCCACTCTTTTTAATCGCCAAGTTTTGAGTCATACAAACTGCTTGTAAGGCAGAGTAGCCATAAATATTTGAACTGGAGCAAATCATTCCCAAGGATTAGCATCATTTAAATAATCGTCAAATTTATAAAAAGCTTTATTGATTAATTTACGTTTAACGAAAGTTTTGAATTTATTCATTGATAATTCTCTAATTTTTCTTGGAAGTTGTTGTAAAAATGAATACAATTTCCATATCAGCAGTGGTTTACCTTCTGGAGCCTGGTTGTCAATTATATTGTGTAAACAATATTCTATCAAATATAAATCTGTACAAATTTCAATAAAAAATTCCCAAAATACAAAATGAAACCTAAAAATTGTATAGTTGCTGGGCAACTTTTTAACCAAACCCATGTTTAAATGGGAGACACCACCCACACCAAATAATATAAATAAACAGTTTATTATAAGAAAATAAGAACACAATATGAATTAGTAATAATAGTACATGTAATGGTAGAAGTATATGTGTATAGTGAATAATGCGAAGTGAATGACAAATAGATCGATTACACTTAGGTATCAGATAAACTAGTCAAACACTGCTAGATTACACACATTTAAAATAAATATTAAACACATTGATAACTTTACTATAGATAATTTTGCTATGAAAATATTAATTTCCGGAAAACCTTATCGTTTTCCAAGGTGACGCTGGCATTCCGAATGAAAACATTTACTAAGCGAAGTCCAGGATATCGGATGTAAACGAATTAAATAAACCCTCGCCTAACTAACTTAATAACCTGCATTATTTTATTTTATGTTAGATCTGGTACACAAGATAAAAGAAAGAACCAACCAACTCCTCTTATTCACCCTTGTGTCCTTTGCATTACTTGGTGTAAGACAATGCTCTCTCTCTCTCTCTCTCCTATACTCTTAGTAGATAAGAAACATAGTCATAACACAAGGTAAAATAATCAAGCTTTGGTTATTTTATCACATACGAAAGAATACCAATTCTAACCGCATCACCTCCACGTCCGTCGTTCCACAACTGAACGTTTTTAAAGCAGTATCTGCCTCGCACCACCACTATATGGAACCAGCTATTATTGCGAACTAATTTGACTTAAGGCCGATTTACATTATCTTAGTGTTTAGGAGAGTGCTTTAGGATAGTAAATACTTTAGTTGAAACATGTAAACGCTACTTGCTTTAGTAAACGCTACTTGCTTTAGTACGGTTCTACTTGACTTTCAAGTTGAATCAAAATAGAATCGCTTTTTATTTTTGTTTCAAGTGATACCCCTCCCGCGCCCGCGCACCCCCCGAGATCTTCCCTCGTTGTGTGTAAACACGTAATTAAGTCAATTCTTTAGGAGAGTGCATAAGTGCCGTGAAACGCGTGCGTGTTTTTTGATTTTTAAAGATGGCTAAATGGTCGGAAGATACAACTATCAAATTTGTGTCTGAATATGTTGTTCACGAATGTTTGTGGAACGTTAAAAACAATTTATACAAAAACAAACCGGCTAGGCATTCGGCATACACTGCCTTAAAATAAGCTATTTTGTTTATTATTTATATTTAGTTTATTTATTTCGAATAAAATCTCGTCTTCTATTTGTTCCATAACTACAGTTAGTATTTTGCGTAGAATAGAGCGTATTTGCCGACGTCGTTGCGCGTTCATTGTGGCGCTGTAATGATACTCTACTGGAAGAAATGTAAACGTTCACTCGCAACGCACTAAAGCACTAAAGAACTTGCCTTTCAAGTTGTACTAAAGCACTCTCCTAAACACTAAGATAATGTAAATCGGCCTTTAGGTTCCTTCAAGAAAAGAGCGTTCTTTAGGTAAGCCACTTGCCCGTTTGCAGGCTGTTCTATAAAAAAAAGGCACTTAGCTAAATAAGTGCAGCTCTTCGAGAAAATACTTAGTGTAGGCATATTATGCTGATTATACTAGTATTCCTGGCTCATTTATATCGAACTTAGCCTAAACTAAAATTATGTTACAAAATAGCGTTCAATCCATTTTAGTTATCTAAATTGTATTGTAATTTCGCCTAAATCATCATTAAAAAACAGATAAAGTTATATATTTGTACACCAGATCTTAGGCTATTATTACCTAATTAATTTAAACAAAAAAAAACCCGTCGAGAGAAAGGAAAAGTCACCGAAAGTGGTTTTCTCGCGACAGTTATTAAATGAAACAGTTTTCTTGAAATACTAGTTACGTAAATGTTACGTAGAAATTACGTACATTCGTAAACAGGTCAATTATAGAATATTAAACAAGCTATTTAGGAGATCTAAGGTTTACTATAAAATCTCGACTTGACTTTACCATCCCATCAGACACTGGGTTAAAGAGTCCCCAAATCCAAGTCTGTCCGCGTAAAGAAACGAAAACGAACACAAAATTGAACGATTGCCAACGATATTATTCCGTCAATTAAGTTAATCGACGATCCACTTTTTGTTCAAAAGAAAAAATGGAAATATCTCCTGACTTTGACCTTCAAGCTAATCGTAGACTATTGTACACCTACATTACAAACACTGTCTTCGAATCATCAATTTACCAACAAGTTTGTTACCAAGATGAAAACGTCATTGGTGACTCATTTGCGTCCGCTTTAAAATGTTACAATACATTGCATGTTTTACACAATGACATTGTATCAGATAAATGCTGGCCCGCAATAAACTTTATACATTGCGACGTTAACATTACAACGGGTTTATTTTCCGTGGATTTTGTTGGTCTCGCGCAGTTCGTTAATGTTTGTCTGCGATACTGGCCGTTTTTCGTGTAACCTAAAAACCGGTTGAGTTTAATCTGTGTCCATACGTGGAATAAGAACATAATTTTCGCCATGGACGACAGGTATCTTTAAAAATCGCGCAATACTTTTTACATTCTTTTAACTTATTTATTTGCTGCGTATTTATTTTTTAATGTTTTTTTTATTTTAGACCTATCGCCTAACTGCTTTGGGATTTTCAACGTGGGTTTTAGTTTTGCCTTTGCATTGCATTGCTGTATCTACACGGAATTTAAAACTGTAATCATGTCATTCACCTCAATGTAAGTTCAAAGATGTTAGATTTACGAGCAAACTTAATTCTGTCAGGCATTTGTATTAATTTTCAAAGCTACACTTTACGCTAAGCTATTTTCAAGCTACATATATTTAATTAATTATTAATGAATTATTGATAATATATTTTTGGATAAAATATATTTCATATGTTATAATATGTAGTCGGAATGTTTGTAAAATATCAGGATCACAAAATATTTTAGGTATATAATGCCGACTCAATGTTACATACTTAAGTATGTAACGAAGTCTAAAACATACAAGTGCATTATTATTATTGTTAGGGTAAGAATATTGTAAATATTGTTTATTTGTACGTTAAAAATAAATAATATTCTAAGTTTAATTTAAATAAAATACAGAAATACAATTACAAAACAGACCAGACATAAAATGCATTTCATACAAAAGAATTAAACTACAATTTAATCTCAATTAACTGACCATATGGCGTAAGGGAATGATTCACTAAAGAAAGTTAATGCACAATTGCTTTAATCTTTAACCAAATAAGGAGAATTCAAAGGTGCCATTCGACCTTGTTAAATGTTGTACTGTTCTGCTGTGAGACTGACAATATTTTTTCGTTTTTATTGAATTGTTAATTTTATCTCAACTTTAATACGTTTCAATTTTTATACATTTATCCATTGCTCATAACAAGTGTAGACCTTTTAATAAAGGAAATATTAATCAAATGTCAATATTTAAAGAAAAGGGAAGATCTAAACTTATATTTACTACCAGTTCCCAAAGCGGGCGAGAAACTCTGCGCCACTCTTTCATTACCAAATTTCGGTTTAATCAATGCAACCAATACGCCTTGCTTTATGTGACATATTTAAAGAAAATGTCATATTCTTCGTTTCGTTTCGAGAACTTCGTTTCTCCTTAATGTGATTTTACTTAGCCTACCTTTTTAGTACATACCAACACGGCACATTTTGCTATGCTACCACAGAGACTGTTCGGTTTTCTGGAATGAAAACTTTTTAGGTTTTTCTGTGAATTTTTCTCTATAAAAACCTCAGATTTCCAGTCATAAGATTTTAAATAACAAATAAAAATAGGGCTTGATCGTAGAGAGGTGAAAATTAAGGGTTATTTATTGTATGCTGTATCATAAAAAATAAATGTATCTAAAAAATTAAAATTTAGGGGTGGACCACTTTTAACAGGGTTTGAAAGATAAATAGTAGCCGATTCCCAGACTTACTGAATATGCATAAAAAATTTCATAAGAATCGGTCGAGCTGTTTCGGAGGAGTATGGGAACGAACATTGTGATACGAGAATTTTATATATTAGATAAACTAGCCAACTTAACCGATGACGGAAATCCTTTTAGCCTTTAACAGATACACAACAGACGAAAATAAAAATTACTTTTTTATCGATAAACCGATTTCTATCATATGTAAGACAAGAAAGTTTGAATAGGCTGTATCTCCTATGTATATATAACCTGTATATTTGCTGCTATATGCTAGTTTCATAAATCCTTATTAAATCATAAATAATGCAAATATCATCAGGATGTTGATAATTAACTATAATTGTAAGCTAATTATTATAATTAACAAGACTAACCTTCTTTATGACTGTTAACATATTTTTAAGACTACATAACATATTTTTGCTTATGAAATAACATTAACATTGATTTAATTTAGGTCAAGTTAAAAAAATTGTTTATAAAGTACATAAATGTTATTTAAATCGATTTGAATTTATGTCTACTACAATTGTTTTAATGAAACCTACAAAAGTTTTATCACAGAAAAATTAAGCGTTTACGAAGATTTCTTTATTGTATTAGACAATATTATATTCCAGCACCCACACCTGTCAGTACAATGAAGAAGACGGCTCCATGAGGATGTACATCCGAGGTCGACCTGTGGTCCTGTATGGTCCCAGCGACCACGATACCTTGGACCCTGCGAAGGTCGCTCCTCCGCCGCAAAGCAAACTCAAGTTGGAATGGGTGTATGGATATCGGTAGGTCTTTTATTTCCTTTTAAATTATGTTTCCTTTTGCGATATTTTGATTCATTTTTATTTTTGTTTATAGATTACTGATAATTTTTCATATTCATTTATTTTGTCATAGATGAAATCATCGTTCTTGTGCGATGCAAAATTTCTCATGTAAGCAAATCATTGTAAATGTTCTATTGAATTTTTTTTGTGTAAGTTATTATATGCGAGTACGGCCGTACCATCATTTTCTCGAAACAGTTCAGGTTCACTATAAGTTTCAAAATATAACATTTAATGTCAAGGGAACATATTATGGATTATATTGCCTTTGAGTACTATTGATTTGCTTATTATCTGCACGATAAGGTCATCGTTGAAATAACAATAGTTTTGTGGTATATGCGGGCAAATGATTATAGGTTTAAAAGCTACTATTAGCCATTAATATTTTGTGATACAATTAATAATGGAGGAAACAATTTCTCATGAATCATAGTATGTAGTAGTTATTAATTTCCGAGAAAGGTTATATTGATATTTTGAATCTTCATATAGTTAATTATTAACACTAAATGTGTAGACATATTGGACGACATCGTCCGCCGTTACTTCATGTGCCAACAACAGGACTAACCTTCTGAAAAGGGCAATTGATTCGCTGTATTACTTTAGTTAAGGAATCACATAGGTTAACTGAACTTTTTTTGTCCGTTGTGTAAACTGACAACAGTTTTATTATTTGTTAGTGTCTATAGTAGTTAATTTCTAATGTTTGTTTATGGTCACCTGTTAGGACATGATTGTGTTTTTTGTAAATAAATAAATAGACTCGTACGATATGAAGAAAAAATATCGACGTAACTAATGCAGATATTGGAGACTAATACCCATTGCGAATAAAACTTTAGTTTTTTTTAAATAATTCCACATTATTCACATGAAATAGCAGTAAACTTTACCACCTCCATTGACATTTGACAAATTTCAGACATTGCATTTCGCCCACAATGGATTTTAGAGCTTTGGGTAATTTATATTTAACGTTTGCGTGGTACTTAGGTAAATGTTTCTATTCAACCTATTACATTATATATTTAAGTAGTTTCTCCCTGGAATTCGCAGCCCGTAAATAAAACCAAAAATTCAATCAGGACTTATTTAAATACGATGCGACACATATAATAAATTGTAAAATACCTTGCTGTGGAGAATATAAATAAATTATCAGTGGTCACCCCCATGCAGGCAACGCATAGTTCCCCCTGGAATTAATTAGTCAACGGTTGACATAGGCGACCTGGTGCGCTGGCCTCAAAATTCATAGTTGATTTATAGTAGTATTATATAAAAAGTACTTAGTAGTTATTGCTTAAAACCATTAATTACGTCATTTAGATAAATGTTGACCCAACCCACGATGCCAGTAATTAACACGAAAACATTACCCACTTTACAAAATGAATTACCTAGTTGACTTATTATTCGTAAGGTAACGAAAGAAAATTCCCTTTAAACTAATTACTTCAAAGCGTCAAAATTGTCCAAAAATTAGTTGACAATTTTCCAATTGAATGATTTTTGGCTGCAATTACCGCCTACGTAATTTGAAGAGATGTCCTTTGAAGGGTTTCGTTATTACGTCATTAATTATCAAAAACGTCTTTCAATTGATGGCTTTTATAGTTTCCGGCTTTAGGTTGATACCCCAACGGTCATTCATACCTATTGTATTGTTTTAAATTGCTTAAGGAATTTTGAACACGTTTTTTTTTTCAAAGATACATTACAATTATAAACAGGTTGTTTTATCACAAATAAGGAAATCTTTAAATATTTCATACAGAGTAATAAAGACAAATAATGCACTAGCTATTATTTATTATATTATTACAATCCAGGAATTTTAAGAAAAGACACGACCAAAGGCAACGAATTGTACTAGCCGAGGCTGTACATTTTGCTCACTCAGGCTTTCTCAGCGTGGCGATTTCCTAAATCATGGATGGGAGTTACGTCCCGACAGAATAGCCAGACGTAGGCACTCTCTTCAACATTGCATTCATTAGTTACATAGCAATTAACATTTTATTATTTCGCTTATATATTATCTGTCTATTGTTGTACGCGAGTGGTTAATATAGAGCAAAACTAAAATCCTCTATTATTTAAACCACACCGATGGCACAGGAACGGTAAATTTTGGTCCTTCGAGCTGCCCGGAAATACTCTTCCTATAAATAGTTGAAATAGTGCAGAAATAAAAATATAAATTAAACTAATTTATTTGTTTTTTTTTGTTGAAATCATTAGTTTTCCCCAGGGATGTTATTAATACAATTTAATAAGCGTTTCTAGAGGCTTGGCTTTATACACAATTACAAACTTGGCCTCGTTGGTGGTGTAATGTAATGTTATAAAATAATTTTTATTTCTGTTTAAAAACTGTTTTATGACCTTGATTGCTGAGTGAGTTAATGCGTAATTTTCTGTTCAGGATAGGGTAAGAGTTGAATGAAAAAGTTAAATCCAGCGATAGAATACCTATAATATTGAGATCGATATCGTTGTTAATTTTGCTGATATGTCGTAATATTTCATGTATTGACTGTAAATCCAATTGGCACGTTTTTAACGGCCGTGACCACAATTTTATCCGAGCTCATATACAATTTATTACAAATTTCAAAAATTTAATTTACCTTAATGACATAGCCGCTTAGGGAAAAATCGTAATTTCCGCTCACACAAAGCAAGTACATGTGGTTACAGCAAGGCTAGCGATTCGCTCCAGTGAGATTGAACGAGATGAAAGGATAAAAGATCGGTATTGTTTCAATGTTATATAAATTATTTCAATCTTTAACCTTCGCGACTTCTACATTTTTTAGTTTCTGGTGTAATGGCGTAAATTATTTAAGAGAAACTCTAATAAGTATTGCAAATTGCAATCGAAAGAGCCGTTATTGTTTTAAAAATATAATTTTAATTTTATAATTATATTATTCTGTCCCAAACATAATGATTATATTAAATAAATTATTAGTATACATTTTCCAAGTTCAAAAAAAGGAACAGTACCGTTCCTTCGAATATTTAAAAGATTTCTTCGCTAGTTTTATAAATATTTGTTAAAGTAGGAATATACACGAATTTATGTTCGTGTTATAATAATATTTTACACGATTTTGTTGCCTTTGGAGTAGACACTCTTGGGCCGTGGGCTTCAAGTGCATAGGCGCTAATTAAAGATTTAAGTTGGCGCCAGGTAGATAGTACCAGTGACCCCAGAGCTGGTGCTTTCCTTGCTCAACGAATAAGTATCGCAATACAGCGATGAGATTTTTCCAGCGTTAAAGTACACTGCCGCAGGGACCAAATTTTTTCAATTTGTTTTAATTTTCTATTTAATTTTTAATTATTATTATTATTACTATGTAGGTTAAGAAAATTGTAAATCTTGTATATTTGTATAATAAAAATATATTCATAATATATTTCAATACTTTTTTTCACTTCTGAATAATTTATTTCAGAGGCAAAGACTGCCGTAGCAACCTATACCTCTTACCAACTGGAGAGATAGTTTACTTCGTGGCAGCCGTGGTAGTACTCTTCAACGTGGATGAGCAGTGCCAACGGCATTACACGGGCCATACTGATGACGTCAAGTGTATCGCAATTCATCCAAACAAGATGATCATTGCTAGTGGACAGTGTGCGGGACATGATCGGATGGACGCCAGGGTAAGTTTTTTTGGGAGAAATATTTATGGTTTCGGTAACATATCATATCACAACCTGCGACTCTCATACCTGAGGTCATTGGTTCGATCCCCGTCTGTGCATCAATGGACTTTTTTCTATGTGCGCATTTAACATTCGCTCGAACGGTGAAGGAAAACATCGTGAGGAAACCGACATGTCTTAGACCCGAATAGTCGACGGCATGGGCACTGGAGGCTCTGATTACCTACTTGTCTATTAGATTTAAAAATGATCATGAAACAGATTCAGAAATCTGAGGCCAAGACCTAAAGAGGTTGTATTGCCACTGATATATTTTATTTATTGAACATATAATTTAAAGAGAAAGACACTTGATACAAAATTAATAATAAACTTAGTAAATTAAAATATTACGGAGTAATAAAGAATTTCGAGGGATTATAATATTTTAGTTGAACAATGTGTTATTACATTTCTTTTGATTTTATAATAACAGACAGAATAACTCGGTTTCGCTAATAAAATGATTTTCTCTATATCATAAAGCTAGGATTTTCCTTAGTATTTGTATCCTTAAATACTTAATACTTATTTCAGCCACACATCCGGGTATGGAACTCAGTTTCCCTGGCGACTCTGGCCGTTCTGGGCTCCGGGCACATAGAGCGAGCGGTTGCCTGCCTCACCTTCTCGAGAGCTGATGGGGGATCCTTGCTGGCTGCTGTCGATGAAGGCCCAGACCACACCATCAGCGTATGGGAGTGGCAGAGGCCGGATAAGGGGCACTGCGTCGCTGAAACTAAGGTACAACATGTGAAGTACAGACAAGTTATTTCTAAAATTATTAAGTAAGTATTACGTGACGTAATACGTATAACTTAGAAGGCTGGCGACGCATTTGCGAGTCTTCTGGTGTCCATGGGTCATTGTATCAGGACTTAACATCAGGTCAACTAAACATCCAAGTTTCATCAATATCGGTTCGGTAGTTATGAAGATATCAAGATATATGTTTGATTTTTATAAATATTTTTTGTAATAAACTTGTATATTATTTCCAGTGTTCAGTAGACACAGTGGTAGCTGCAGAATTCCATCCGCTGGACAGAAACCAGATCGTGACTTGTGGGAAGGGGCACATCGCGTTTTGGACTTTGGACGCTTCCAACGTCTTATACAAGCGCATGGGCATCTTCGAGACAAGAGACAAACCGAAATATGTCACTTGTCTTGGGTTTAATCATAATGGTGAGTGGCTTATTCAGCTAAAATCCGTTAAAATATTCATTTTTAATTTAGGTATTGTTTTAAGGTAAAATTGACTATGACTGACTCTACTTACTTCAGAATAGTTTTAAAATAAAAAAAAACGTCTTAAAAATAAATAAGCAGTGATGGCTTAGTGGACTTGCGACTACTACTTACTAGTGCGCACTTTTTTTCTATGTGCGCATTTAATATTCGCTCGAACAGCCTTAGATCCATAGAGTCGACGCGTGTCAGGCACAGGAGGCTGATCACCTACTTGCCAATTAGATTGACAATTGATCATCAAAATTAATCCAGAAATCTCAAAACCCTCATAGCCTAGCGGTCTTATTAAGTGGCAGCTAGGTGAGGGGTACCGGGTTCGATTCCCTGTTCGAGGGCAAGTTTTAATTTAAATTTGTTCTCGGCCTTTGGGAGGGTTGTGCGGTACCGGGCGAGTGTTTAAACCGTACATAGAGGACGCTGTCGAATTTCTAAAAGACAAGCACGAATTATAAAAAAAATCCTATACTTGACGCTGGCTAGTGCACAAATCGTGCCAGAGCCATAAATTAAAAAAAAAAATGTCGTTTCTAGAAAGCGGATTTTTTCATTTGGCAAAAATATCTTTACTTTCCAGGCGACGTAATCTCAGGCGATAGCAACGGAAACCTCATAGTGTGGGGCCGCGGCACCAACACCATCCAGAAGATGGTGCGAGGGGTCCACTCGGGCTCCGTGTTCAGCGTGTGTAGCCTCAAGGAGGGGGCCGTGGTCAGCGGCGGGGGGAAGGATGGGCGGCTGGTGCTCTTCGACGCGGATCTGCAGCCCACTGCTACCGAGAATGTGGTGAGTATTTATACTCAGAAAAATTATAATCATTGGTAACATAAATAATATATTTTGAAGTGTGAAACTTCTTTAGGCGCATGAGGGTAACATTTTTACGGATGAAACGCAATACTAATCATATTAGCGTCACGGAGATGTGCAGCGTTTTTTTCGAAGAAAAGGGAGAGAGCGATTGAGACCAATTGAGAGAGAGTGAGAAGGGCGAATTACCTTATAGAAATTCTATTTTTTAAATTAAAATTTCGCAAAGAGAATTTATTAAATAAATTTATATTTATATTTTTTTATAAATCTTTTTCGTCATTTGAGATTTGATATAATATTTCATACACTCTCTTTGTAATAATAAGAAAAAGTAATAAATGTCTCACTAAACAATATTATATATATATATATCAGAGATAGACAATTAGTTAATTTACTTTTAAAATATTAAATTACATATGCCTAAAATGGTTTTGGCTTATGTTTAACTTACCACCAGGTATAGTAACATATAACAGACAAAAATAGTAAATGATTACCAAAATTAAACCCGCATTTTAATGTAAAATTACAACCTAAGTTTTAACATCTCGCTATCCTATTTAAGCAAAATGACTCCAAATAAATCATTGTTAACCCAAAAGTAGTAAATGATCGCCAAAATTAAAACAGCATTTTAATGTAAAATTATAACCAAAGTTTTTACATCTTGCTATCCTATATAAGCAAACTGGCTCCAAAAAACTCATTGTTAGCCCAAAAATAGTTAATGAAAACCAAATTATTAACCATATTTTAATTTAAAATGAAATGCAAAAAAATAAAATCTCGTTATCCGATTAAAGTAAATTACCCTCGGCAAAAAAAATATTTTGTTATTTTTGCCGAATAATTATTCGTCTTCATCTGATTCCGATGAAGTACTCAACAGCGGAGCACACGAACTCGGTCCCGCTAAGTTTTCATTCGCCATTGCAAAGAAGATAGATACCAAAACACACCCAATAAAAGCAAGTGCTCGCACGCGACTAAATTGGCGATCGTGTCCGGGCGTGCGCGGCGCTTGCGGTGTGGTGGGAGAGGATCGTAAGCCGCAGACATAACTTAATATGGCATCATAATGCTTCATTTGGTAATAAGCCTACATTTTATGTCAATCATAGTGGTTTATTTAGGCAGAAATAGCGCATTAATTTGCTCGCTAAGATTTGGTGATCATTTACTACATTTGGTGTTCGAATACAATTTGAAGTGCAGTCGTGACTAAAATAGCTAGTACTATTGTAATTTTAGACGTTATTTATCTGGTGTTAAGTATATATTTTTGGTAAAAGAACTAAGGGTATCAAAGCATTTTATGGTGATCATTATATTTAACCCCAATGGTTTTCAGATCGAAGGACACTACGGCGGCGTGCGAGTGATCGCGGAAGGGCGTGGCTCGCAACTCTTCATCGGAACAACCAAGAACTGCATCCTTCACGGAGACATGGAGCTCGGCTTCTTACCTGCTGTCCTCGGTAACTTTTCAGACAAAAAACGCTAAAAATTAATATAATTTTATCTAGAAACGATAAATTTGTGATTAAATATTTTTGCCCCTTCAGGTCACGTGGACGAGGTGTGGGGCCTAGCCGCTAACCCCACTTTGCCCCAATTCGTGTCGGGCTGTTGGGACAGTTTGCTACAGCTTTGGGATCCACTCAGTCATTCCACCGTATGGAGCAAGGATATTGGGGTAAGAATTTTTTTGTTTATTGTTATAGAGCAGTGGTGGCTTCAGGCACTGGAGGCTGATCACCTATTAGATTTAAAAATGATCATGCCAGACAGATTCAGAAATCTGAGGCCACGACCTAAAGAGGTTGTAGCGCCACTGATTTTTTTTTTATTTTTTTGTTTAAATCATGTTATTTGTTTAATTTCCTAAAAGCCGACAGAGTTTTATTTGTATCAAACTAGAATAATCACAGAAGATGTTTTATTTAGGAGCGCGCTCAAAGCTGCGCCTGGTCATCGGACGGCAGCGTGATAGCGGTGGGCTGCGTGTCAGGCAAGTGGCTGGTCTTCGACCCCGTCTCCAGGGAAATGGTGGCGCACCATGTTGATGGGTGAGGAATTATTTTTGTCTGAAAGAGATCTAAATGTTTTTCTCTTGGGACGAAACATATTTGAATTTGGAATGTTTTTTTATCACCAAAGAGATCGAACTTTTTTTTAACTAATCATCTGCAATCAGCCTCTTGGTTTATATCAGATTTTATGACATGATTCCAAAGAGTTTCAATAAAAAGTAAAAAGGCGCGAAACGAGAATTCTTTTCTTTATTTAATATTTTTTAATTGTGATAAGAAAATTATAATTTGATAATAAAACAATTTTTTACCGGATTGAAGTTATGTATTTACAATTATTTTTCATAATTTTAAAATGTTAATAAAAGACAAAACTAAATTATAATATATAAATAAACTTAATTCTACTTTCTTAGTTGCACTTAATTTCTCATGATGGTCTATTTTGAACTCGGGTGAAGTACCTAAAATAGTGGTTTGCTAAACTCTCACAACCATTTCAAAGAACGCTCGCCTAGAAGCATGCTGGAGTTTCACCCTTGTGTTGTTGACATCCCCAAATGCATGCGGCACATTTGTAAAAACAGCATAGACGTGGAACTCTGGCGGTTTCTGGACTGGCGCGCCCTTCAATAGGCCGCCTGTATAAAACAACGCATTTTAAGTGTACCTCTTGCCTTCCAGCGTGGAACCAATCCAGACCATCCAATACTCTCCAGACAACAAGTATGTGGCGATCGGATCTCGGGACAACTTCATATACATCTACCAAGTGGATGACAATTGTTCCAGATATTCCAGACTTGGGAAGTGCCTTGTGAGTCATTCAAATTCAATTAAGTAGTCTTCCAATAGGGATAACCATTTTTAATATTGGATTGTTGTTCCACGCGATAGAGGTCGCTCCCGATGTTAGAAGTTACAGAATACCAAAGCCAGTTTAATGTATTTCAATATATTTTTCTTTAAGAATTTACAAGTTCAATTTTATATGAGGTGATCAGTCAGTAAAATAATTTAAAAAATCTGTATGATTTGCAATAGAAATTCCATAAATAGCTTCACCATTAAGGAAAAATCTAATTCTTAAACATACATTTATGTATCTATTTTACTTGGCATTTTTTCTTGAATGGCATTTTTTATGACTTTAAAGCATTTTCAGTATCAAGCAAAAACATGATACATAATAGAAACTAATGATTTTTCAATGCCCCTCTAGTGCACGGAAAGAAAACGTAGAAGGGTAAACCATACTAACATAATATGTAGATAGAAAGCAGATCTGTCCGGTTTCTATATTCAAACCAGCCGTTATTGTTACATCTTTCCGCAGAAATTTGACCGATTTCTGAGGAAGATACGGTGATTTGAATATAGGACCCAATCAATATTATAATCTTTGAGGATCTGCTAACCGCTCAGCTCAGCTTATTCTAAATATATATCCAATAGTAGACCCGCTTGACTGATATGCATGTGGTTTAGGTGCCTGGAAGTGCAGCAATATAGTTTGAAAAAAAATTCAAAATCATTTATTCATTTAGGTAACACAATGTACACTTATGAACGTCAAAAAGAAATACATATTAAATGCTTCTAATTTCACATTTACTGCCAGTTCTCAAATCAAGGGAGTAGAACGGATGAGAAGAACTGGCAATGCTTGAGCAGTCAGCCAGTACCTGCATAGTTTTATAAGTATGGAGTGTCAGATGTCTGCAATATGGTGTTAGTTATTTTGGCTTACTTCACTTATATTTATTTCGGAGACTTTAGGTACTGTTAGTACAGATGTTACAACTTTCACATTTCTTTACTTCTGCACTATAATGATGTGATTGATTAAACTCCACTTTGAACCATTTTGAATGTTCTATGAGTATCTAAATAAAAGTGTTTTTTTAAATAGACTATATCTGTGAAAATTATTTACTTAGGCACCTAAATAATTAGCATTCGTGAAGGTGTCCCCTCATATCTCAACAGATTTTGATAGAACTATGTTTTTTAATTTGAATATCAAAATCATTTGAACTAATATGTCTAAAAACCCGGAAAAAACAAAAATCATGACCAATGGCAACAAAGACCCTGTAATAGTGGAACAGAACCAAATCCCCTACGTGGAAGAATATTTATACCTCGGTCAACTGATGTCTCCAGACGACAACGGAAACAAAGAAGTCGAAAGAAGAGTTGCAAACGGCTGGAAAAAATATTGGAGCCTAAAAGAAGTGATGAAAGACAAGACCCTACACAATTCAACGAAAAGCAAATTATTTAACACATGCATCCTGCCAGTGCTGGCTTACGGGAGCGAAACATGGGCTTTAACAAAAAACGTACCAAATAAACTCTCCGTATGTCAACATGCTATGGAAAGGAGCATGACTGGGATCAAAAGAAAAGACAAAGTAAGGAGTAGCAACATCAGAGGAAAGACTAAGGTACAGGACATAACTTTGAAAATAAGAAGACAAAAGTGGAAATGGGCAGGCCACATGATCAGGGGAAAGGACAAATGGAGTAAAATAATCACACAATGGTACCCAAGAGATGGAAAGAGAAAGAGAGGTAGACCACAAAAAAGGTGGGACGATAACATTATACAAGTCGCGTGAACAACATGGGGTAGAGTGGCCATAGAAAGGCCAGAATGGAGAAGGTTGGAGGAGGCCTTTGCCATCTGGCAAACGGACACCCAAAAGTGGAAGAAAAGTACAATATACGAAAAATAAAGAAAAATACTGGCATGTCCGAATAGAGGCTATAATAATAATAATATAATAATAATGTCTAAAATAACTTGTAGTTACACACACTAACGAAAAAGAGCGCACGTGCTTGTTTATCGCTAATTTCAATAAATGAAGAATAAAAAGTTCAAACTGACAACAGTCTTTAATGTCGGTTAAAATACAGTTTTTATACATACAATATAATCTATATTGTTTGCATGTATTAAGAATGCTATTAGAAGAATGTATTTGTAGATATAAGTAGTTTAGGTAATAATATATGTTTTTTTTTACGCTATAATAATAAATAAATAAATTATTTCAGGGCCACTCTAGTTTCATTACCCACTTGGATTGGTCTGAGGATAGCCAGTACATACGGAGTAACTCTGGCGATTATGAATTATTATATTGTAAGTCAATTTGATTTTTATTCGTAAAATAACTTAATTTCACTCACTATAACTATTATTGTATTCTGGATAGAGCAGGGTAATGATCTGCTTTAACTTTCAAAAGTTTTGGTTCAGAAACATTTAAAAGTGAAGAAAGAGTAAAGTTTGGTAACCTGATGTTGGAGCTTGCAGTAGTTACATTTCTGTGTGTTTACTTATTCATAGACAAGTAGATTACGCTTGCATCACTGAGCCACAAAAGTAATTTTCTTATTTATAAAAAGACATATGTTGTTTTCATACACATATTTTTTGGATTTGTACTTATTTTTCCGACCTTTCCAACAATAATCAGTCGATCTTTTCGCAAAAACCCTACTAAAATCAATTAAGTAGTTTTTGAGTGTATTACGTTCATACAGACGCAACCAGGAGACTTCATTTCATATAAAGTATGAGGAATAACGAGTTTAAAACAATTCCAGGGAACGCAACCACCTGCCGTCAAATCACGTCGCCCACATCGATGCGAGACGTGGTCTGGGCCTCCAACAACTGCCCCATCACCTTCCAAACCATCGGGGTGTGGCCCGAGAACGCCGACGGCACCGACATCAACACCTGCACCAGGTGAGGGCTGCATTTACTCAACTGTTGTAAATATGTCTTAGGGGAAATTTATGATTTTTTATAAAAATACTGACTTCTCACTGAAATACCATTATTGATCCAGCTATAAACAATATCCAAATGACAAAAACCTTTACAAAGAAAATTTTTACGAAAGTAAAAGTTAAATTAAATTTTTTTTAAACTAAAACTTAAAAATAAAACTTGTTTTCAGGTCTCACGATAACCGATTAGCCGCGACAGGAGATGACTTTGGCAAAGTGAAACTATTTGCTTACCCCGTCACACAACCGAAGGTAGGCACTGAATTTGAATAGTACCAAATTATCTACTGAGGATTTACAGCAAAAACTTAAATGAGTTTGATTCCCGGAGGAACAATATTATACAATAGCAGATCTGTACAGATAATAATAATGAAAATAGGTTTTATTAGACATTTATATGCATAAACAAAATAGCACCATTTGCCCAAAAATTTTTTATTTTTACGTGACTACGTCTTATAATTCGATGGAGCCGGCCGCAGTCACGAAAAAACATGACGCATGCGGCGTTACCTCACTCTGAGGCGTTCCATTTAAGGCTTGAAGTGCAAGCGAGAGCGCGGAACGAGCGACAAAGAGGCACAATCGGTCTCCGCGTTCGGTCATAATTGTATTTATGCGTATAAATAAATGTAACTTGATCAATTCAATTGTGATTGATCCATACAAAATATCTATCAAACAAATAAAATTAAAATTTTCTTTTGAAAAATGCAACCATTCCATCAGTATTTTCTTATGACGTTGTCACGTTCAACTATCGTCAGTAAACCGACTTTACAGACAATCGATTTTTTTTTCAGTCCTTGTGTCACCAATACGGCGGCCATTCATCCCACGTGACGTGTGTCCGTTTCCTTCTCGACGACTCGAGGCTGGTTACCGCCGGAGGACTGGATACCAGTCTTATGCAGTGGGTCGTTGAATAAACACAATAGATGGCGCTGTTTCATTTTTTCAATGTGGCAACTGTCATAAATGACAACTTTAACGTAATTGGACAGTTTTTCTAGTACTCAAAAGTGCCCATTGAAAATGTAGATTTAGGGTCCATAAATATTTAAGAAATATTAATTAAAGTTCAACTTAGGAATTGTTTTATAAATTTTAATAGCTCTTAGATTATTTATTTTTGAATAAGCTAATTCAATAGTGAGCTTATAATATTGCGACACCTAACACCTTTTTTTATTTAAAATGGGCCTTTTTTTTTTAATAAAGAGATAAATATGTACACGACAAAGCACATACGCAATTATGGAAATTTAAAGATTTAACAAAATTTATGCATAAGTATTTAATACAAAAACTATCTAAATGCATAGGTTTTAATCATGTGAATTTATCCAATACTAGTTCTCTATTATGAATAATATATTGATATTCAAATTATCTCGAAATGTAACCGCCTGAGTATTATCTGCTTTTGCTCTCACCAATTTAACTAACGGAGTAATTGTTAGGTTTAGTGATGAATAGAGTGCAATTTGCTTTTTATTCTTTCTTATTTTCGACGGTGTTGCGAAACCGTCAATTATTTTGCGTAAAAGTACATTTTACAATATTTTTTTATTATAATATAGTACAAAATGTTTAGGTTTCGTGGTTGTGATGTGTTCAATTCGCAAAGGGTGACCGATCCGTCGAATTATTTTCCTACACAAAGATATTTATGCAACACTATTATATTTTTACACTTGCAACACTAAAAATATTGTCAATTGTGATTTTAGCTTTTCAAATGTTAGGCGTACGCACTTCTCTGTTATTGTATACGTTCGAAAAGAATATTCGGGAACTTTTATGATTTATGGAAAAGTGGATCATTTGATATTTTTTAAGTTTAATAATAAATTTATTTTTAAGATTTCCATCGATCAATTTTGTTTGTATTAGGTTTTCTTAAGTAGCATTTGTTTGTAACCTAGTCACGGTTGATTCGTTTCATTTTAATTGTGTTGTCATCACGTATTGTAAGCATTAATATTTAGATATTTCCTGTATATACAATTATATATGATGGCTCTGTCCGTCTTTTGAATGTGCCTAATAAAAATGTTTACTGAATCGTATTTTTCATGAAACCCTATTTAAAAAAAACGAGATTATAAACGAAACAATTTATTAACAGAAAATACATACAAAACCCACAAAAGTATACAAAAATAAATACTGTATCGGGTGTATTGGCCGATTGCATTTTGTACTATTCACAATAGTATTACAGAATTTAGAGCCATATGTAAGATGTATTAAAATGAATCTTGTTAATAGGAAAATAAAACCTTGTGTGTCAATCAACATTTAGTTTTGATTCATTTTCAGTTTCTTATAAGTTAACATAGTTTACTTGAAGCATGCCATGACAACACAACTATAAGCCTCCCTGCTAAATAAATCCCGTTTATGTTTGACACTATAGTGAAACAAGTAATTTATACACTTAGAGGGCTGCACTTCAGCAAATTAATAATGAAATATGTAAAATTTACTTTAAATCACTGAGTTGAAAGCTAATTTCTTTAGACACCTAAAGAAGAGCATTGTCAAGGTACAATTTCAGTAACACATCTACTTTGAACGGCACAGGTACTTTACAACAAACTATATCAACTGTTCTACACTGTTGGCTGATAATTCAAGCAATCTCCAAGCCGCTTTAGGGTTAAGTTCCTGTGGATCCCTACAAAGTACCCAAACATAATTCACCCTCATTACTTTATCGGGATCTCCCTCTATCACATTGTCTTTAGAGTCTCTTACACACATAATTTGCTGAGACTGGAATGTTATCACTAACACTGGTCCTTGATCCATCATTTTCCCCATCACCAACTCAATATTCTCAATATCGAGTATTTTGGAATCCAACCGGTAACCGAGTTGTCTGCACTGCTTGATCGGTGTTCCCAAAATATTGAAGACTCCTTCGTAACACCAATCTTTCAAAATCTCCAAATCGCCTCTCACCATAGCTTCTAGTATATTCGGTATGATATCATTTCCACAGTCTTCGAGGAATTTTTGAGACGTAAAATTGGGATCAATCTTGCATATCTCTGTCAGTGTTTTAGAAAGTTCTGTCTTCTCAAACATGTTACCAAATAAGTTTCCAACTTTTTCAGAGACGAAACGAGCGCCTCGAACCATCGCGTTATCTGACTCTTCATAGCGTATTTTCCAGTCTAAAACCTAAAAAAGCGCAAATGACATAAACCAATATACAAACATTAACTTCCTCAATCTGTTATAAAAATGTGTGCGAATTCCTTTGAATGAATGGTTTGATTGAAAATACAATTTTCAGTCATCCATCCATCCCTAACGGTAGGCAAAGATAGGCACAAAACTTTGTTAAACAACAATATACAAACCTTATTGACATACTGGTTGTTGTTTTTGAAATTCTCCCATTGCTGGTAAAACTTTGAGTCCTTGTGTAGTTCTACTCCAAGTGTTTCTGTATCTGGTGCAAATGTTCTTTCCTCTTCGGCCACCTAGAGGCAAATAAATAAAAGCATATAACATTATTTGAATTTTATATTTTCATTTAAGGGTAAAAATATTGGTGTATGTTTTATGCATTCATAACATGAAGACAATTTTTTATAAGTATTTTCAAAAGAAACTATATTTTAGGTTCTATTCTTATGAAATTTACCTCAACTCGTTTCCGAAGCATGATAGGTGAGGTGTACACACGACCTTCGAGCCCTCTAGGGGACATCTCATTCCGCACTACTTCTGTAGCCTGAAAGTGAAGCAGACAGAACATTATTTAAATCTAGCTTTTAATAAGTAATTATCAAATTCACTATAATAATGTTGCTATAAAATCCTGACTATTTACAGGTAGGCATTCCGAGAGCTAAAAATTTATTTACATGTTACTTTCGCATAAATAAAAAATTTCTATATTAATTAGATATATATATATATATATATAGCAATTTATAATATTACTTTAGCTTTTTCCAGTACCACTGGATGTATAATTTGGACTTTATTTAAATGGTAATCACAATTTAATCACCACATAATACCCATGATCTTTAAAAAGTAGTTTACTACTGAGAACGTACCTGTGAAATAGTTTTGAAAGCTGTGGACTGTCCTAATTTTTGACTTCTATCAGCAATGCTTTCTGCTGCACCTTTTGCTGACTTTGAAAGATCTTCTGTTATCCTTCCTGAAATTAAATATTTTGTGTGTAAATTATTTCAGAAACATCAACCTAATAGAACTTAAGTTAAAGCATATATGTGTACTAATTGTTTTTTTTATACTTACATAAATAAAACATGCCTATGATAAGTATGTCTTAGATCCAACTGACATCAGTTAAGAACTAAGCACACACTAAGAAAAATCAATAAAACCAGATTCAGAAGTCTAAGACAAATACAGATAAAGAATACCACTAATTTGTAACTGACCTGTAAACTGAAGGAGGTTATCAATTAAATATGTATTTTTGATTTTGTGTATGTTTAAACAATATTCAAATTCAGGGTTCAAATTTTGTTGTAATATAACATTCATTCTCAAACTCTTTCAATTGAGATGAACAAAATTTATGTAGTTAAATACTTATCCTATTTAATTGGGTGCTTACCTTATAAATAAATATTTATGTTCATAAATAAGTATTTTTTTTATTTATATTAATTGGTATTGTATCGGTGTTGGTAATAATCAGGATAATAAAATGTATTAAAAATAAGTAATTGGTTATATATGGGGAAGATCATATTAGGCTATTTTTTTGGAAGTTTGTGCAGCTTTATTTTTTGAAATTTATAATATAAGAATACAATTTGCTTACCTGCCTTTTTGGCAATATCACTTTTACTTGCTTCTTCTAAAACATGTTCCACTTTTCCTTTAATTCCTTCCAGTGTTTCTTTAAATACCTCTGAACTTTTAGAAGCCTCTGATTCAACTACATGAAACTTTTTCCTTGCTGCTTGTAAAGCTTCAGAATTTTCTAATTTTTGGGCTTCTTCTCTAAATTTTTTTATACTTTCTTTCATTTCTTTATTTTTAGCAATGTCCTCTTTAATATTTTCTATGATTGATGAGAAGAAACCTTTGCGAGCAGAATAGTGGCGACATTCTATTGTATACTAAAAATATATTAAATGATATTATATTATAGTAATTATATCTAATTAAAGCAGTTTTTATGGCTTAAGCGACTCTTAACCCTGAAGTCTTGTTTTCAAATCCAGGCTGTGTACCAATAAGTACTTGGTGAAGGAAATCCCAAAAATATTAAACATGTAACTTAATAACTGCCCAAGTCAGACAATTTCAAGAAGCGACAAGGTAAAGGGCCTTAAGTACTGCTGCTCACATACCTGGTCTGATTTTAAAGGAAATACGGACGATTTTAGATTTACAGGCACTACCGTTTTCCAGCGGGCCGGACTATATAATATTTGTCGACACGAATGCTGTAAAACAAAAAGTATTTTAATTTTAAATGTTATCGAACTTTACACATAACCTCATAACTGATGCAACACTATTACCATGTTTTTGTTATTCTCGTGAGTTAAATTCAATAAATACTGTCCTCAACTAAACTTTTATCACTTTTAGACTCAAATAGATGAACTAAAAAAGGACATTGAAGATATTTATCCATATACCATTCCTCGAAATCAAAATTTTTAAGGTGTCATTTTCTTAATATATTTTTTTATATATGGCAATCTCACAGATCATAGTAAATAATAAAAATTGTTTTGGCACTGACAGACTATTTAGAACATTTATTTGTTTATTCATCAAAAATTTATCCACGTTCGTTAAAGTATTCTTCTATCTTATACAGTAAAGCACCCGTCTAATTGAGTTTACAGTCTTAAATCTTATATACTATTCCTATTAACTATTACTCTGTGGTCTCATACTTGTATTTTAAATAAACCTCATTACACAGGTAGTAAGAGCAAGCATAGAGCCTAAACCAACTTTGACATATTGCAACATCCGGTAAGAATTTAATTAATTTGGTATTTATTTATAAAAGTAAACATATGAATTATAAATTTTAGCTACTAATAAATTTCTTTTCTAAAAGCAGCAATGTTATATAGATTCTGGCAAAATTATCCAGTAAATCAGCGTGGGATGTTATTCACTTCAAATTTTAAAAAGTTTTACATCCGGTGTGAACTTAGTTCCAGAAACATATGAAAGTGTACATTTTCATTTATTTTCTGTCGTCATATTTAGCCACGGATTCGCGTGCGCGTTTGTTACATTAAATATTTTGTTTTATGTTCGTTTCTTGTTCGATTCCAAACCGTGAACGCGTTTCGTGATTTTCACGGAGTTGGGATTCAGACTTGGCAGACGCATCGTCGTAGTGGAAGGTATATATTATTATCTCTACATAATATCAAATGTCTTTAGTCTCTACTCTTCACAGTTCACTCCATATTTACTTATATCTATGTGATAGGTAGCAGATACCACGTTTTCGCCAGCTGGTGCGTACGTTTCGGCTCAATAATTATTTTGTGTTGTACCGAATAATTCTGTGTTTGTGTAAGTGGATAGTGGATTAAATATTGTATTGTGGCAGGTTGGTGTGGCCGACTCGCGTTTTCCTGGTGCAAGTTTCACCGAAGGTTCAACAATTAATCCCATCAGTGAGCTCTCGTCCAGTGGGGCGCTACCGTTTTATATGACTTTAGCAAGATTTACAGGTAAGCAGGAATGTGTTTGGTGAATATTGCATTTTTCAGGTTACCTTTCTTTAATCTGCAGGGGTTATTTCGTATTCTTTAAATACCGAGTTATTTATATCCTTCTACATCATAGTTAAAAAAATACTGTATACATGCAGAAGCTGATAAGACTGCATTATATTTTAGTATATGATAAGGAAAGTGAGCAGTGTCAGTATGTATCTTCAGTTAATTTTCTTTTGTAATACTATTATATATATGTTAATCACACAGATAGCACCAAATTATATTATACTTATGCTCTTAAAATTTTAGTGGTGCATGCAATAAGATTAGGTATCATCGCTTTTGCAAACATTATTTATAAGCCAGGTTTTGTAGCTATAATTTTTAACCTTATTATTCATTATATATATATATATATAGTAAGTTCTTCTCATAAAATTAAAATATATATGTAAAAGCTATGTGTATGTGTCTAAATACTCCTTTAACTAAAGTTCTAGATTAAGTTAATAACTTTGAATAATAAAGATTTTTAAAAATTTCATTGTGATGATAGACAATGTAAAAAAACATTTAATATAAATAGTTTGGTAATTTATTAGATTCTTTGATGATCTTGCTCTTATTAACAACATTAACATAATACCTAAATAAAATAAATGTTTTTACACAAAACTGCGAACATATAACTAATATACAGGTGTACAGAATTATATATTTTACCATTTGTCAAATATATGGAAATTATATTCAAGTCCGCCATCTTTAAGTCTGTAGGTCTGTTTTTATAGGTATTTTTAAAATTTTACATTATATTAACTTGTGTTGCTGCACTCAATTTATAATTCTTAAAAATATATTATTGACTGGATATGCATTTTATATTTCATGCCATAAATTCAAAAGTTGAATACTGAAAGAACACAGATAAATATTCAGTTAAATCAAGCTGACTGAAGTGTTGCGTTGTAAAGAAATAAGTATCTTCCCAGGCTAATCTCAATCTTTTTGAGAATTTATTCATTCATTTGAGTATATTGCATATATTAACTGTAATATAATTTTTCAATTTTATACTGTTTAACCCTATATATAGCCCAACACTTAATTAAAAATAATAATATTAAAAAAATTTACATGTGTGATATGTTTTCCTGATAAATAGTAGTACTAATATATACTAATATTATACAGAGGAAAGATTTGTATGTAAGTATTTTTGTAATGAATTGGCTCAAGAAGTACTGTACCGATTTAAAAAATTCTTTTACCATTTGAGTGCTACATTATCACTGATTACAATTATGTTACACAATATTAAAGAACATATAAATATCTATGTACAAAAAATAGAAAAAAAATAAAAGAAATAAATGACCTATATATATATATTTAGGTAATACCTTAGACTCTCTTTTTCCGATATTATACATTCTGTATAATATTTGAAAAAAAAAAATGCATTATAGACGCGTATTATTCCATGTATCATAATAATTTAGGTCTGTCTATCGTTTCATTAATACATAACTACTGTTTTAGCGTTATCGATGCCAGACCTAACTGTCCTGCGTAGATTACAGCCTCCAAGCGTGGTTGGATCGATAGTTACTTCACACTGTTACATCTAGACTATTACGTAGTACATAGCTTAACTTGACACCTATATGTGTAATAAACGTTATACGCCCACACCACAAGCATACAAAAGATAAATTGATTTCAAAGCTTTCCGATCACAATTTAGGCATTCTTGTGGAAAAGCGATAGGGAATTTCGTAAGAAAAGGATTCAAACGCTTGAAGGAGTAATCGATTTGATTGCTGTTCATCTTCCAAGGTTGAATCGTAATTCTTTAATAATCGTAATTATTCATGGATAAACGGGTTTAAATAGAATTGCTTAAATCTAAAATTATGCAGATTTTATATTTTCGCTACGACGATGCAATATATTACACGCTTTATATTAGCTTCACCTGTATGTATGTATGTAACCGACTCCTTCGGACTCGATTTTGACACACTTTAAACGGACAGATTTAATTCAAACTTTGTACACTTATAAAGAATCAGCGACAATATAATAATTTCATAGGTTTATCTCGAAAAAACAATGAAATTTTTTTAAGTCCACAAAGCAATACGATTAAATTGAGACAACACGTATTGCTTCTAGGACTAAAAAGTGAAACATAATTCCTAATTTAGGCTGAAAATGGTAATGAACAAAAAATACTGGTATTATTGTGAAAAAGCGTGGCGCGCTCTGTGCCATATTTTTCGTCTATGGAGCAACTTTACAACTAGCGGCCCGTCCTGGCTTCGCACGGGTGTACATTTATATTTTAAATATTTTTTGTAGATATTGATATGTTCTTTAATAGTGTGGAACATTTGTTTTCTATCATCAATAGTTTTCGCAGCGCTTGCGATGAAAGATATTTTATAGTCATTTTTTACACCTTGGGTAACATTATTGTAGTTTTAGTAGGGATCCTTGTTTTTTTCATTCAATTGAAATAGCCTATATTAATTAGTGATAATGTAGCATTCAAATTGTGAAAGAATTTTTAAAATCGGTCCATTATTTTTCGAGCCATTTCTTGACAAACATACTTCACTTTGTGTTGGTTCGTTTATATCTAGAACTGCGCTAAAAATAGTCGGAAGTTAATTAAGATAATAAATTAAGATACATTTTAACTTTTTATCGTTGTTGCATTGGTTTTATTTTTCCTAACCTTTCTAGCGATGCCTTGAATATAAGTCTCTATTATAAAGATGTATTATGTGATTTAAACTTATAAACATGAAAAATTATCTTACACTGACTTATATTATTAAAAGAATGTTAGCCGTTTAGAGTAGTTTCTGCTAAACGTGTAGGATACGTGTCAAGGGGCTTTCTCCTATAGCTTGTGTTTAGGCTTGAATTTAGTTGTTAAATATTTCGTATTTTATTAGCCATTTTAGTACTAGATACAGTATCGCTGTTTAGGCAATGCTTCGCCGAAACGTTATGTCACAGAGGTCGACGCTCTCGCCTCTCTCGTCTAGCATACAAACCTCATTCCCCACCCCCACCGTGCGCCAATGATTGATGGCTTGGTCATTTTTCAACTTTTTATTTTTGCCCGTCACAACCTGTATAAATTAGTGTAGATGGGGGACGTAAGCGGCTCAATAACTTTTACCTTACTTGTCTTAAATTATTTTAATCGAATCCCATTTTCAATACAATAATTACATGCCTAGCGGAGGTACAGCATTCTCTCGTCTATTAAACTTCATAGAATTATGTTAACAATGTGTTTGCTTACTTATAAATTACTTGGTACCTTTACTATTGACGTTTGCCTACTCAATTGTATCTTAGTTTCACTTTTCAAGTCTTTAAGTGCCACCACGTCCATTTTTCCACTTATTAAAGAGATTCAAAGATGAAAGAATGATTGAAAGAAATTAAGGCTGTGTATGTACAGTCTCTAGCCACCTCATTCTTAGATTTTTAACACCGAAATTCATACAAATGGGAGCAAAATTTGAATCTACAATGTCGCTATTTATATTTAATTAACAACTATTTTTATAGTCAGTAGTTCCTTTCACTTGCTTGTTTAAAACGAATGTTAATTTCAGTAAATAAATGATATTACTTCATATCGTAAATTGTACAATCCGATAAGTCTTATCGTTTTGAAATAAATAGTAGAATGCTGTTATCTATATTTACTTATTTGTCAAGAGAGCAAGATAGTTTTGATTAACCTTTTAGTAGAAATAGAGTTAGCGAATTATTAAAAATGTTAGCCTTCAGAAGAAGTAGGGAATGTACATTTTGAATTCTCGAATATATAATGATAAAAGTACTCGTTACCATATTCGATCAGCAGGTTCTATATTTAGATGAAATATGGGTAAAGTTAGCGCATTGAGTCCAGTAGAGCGGAATTCGGTACGACCCACTTGACCCCACCGTCCCCAACATCGCGATTTGAGACGGTTCAATGACCTGGCTTTCAAATATTACAATGGAAAACAGAATAATAAATTAAGTACTACACAATTAGATTTCTCTTATTACGTTTAGCTGTAAAACGCATCAAATACTAAGTATACCGATACCGATTCTTGGAGTAGGTTTTATATATTTTTTTAAGAATGGACTTAGTGTGGTCAACAGAATAGAACTATAATATTTCAATATAATTTTTGTCTTTCCTCTATGATTGATACATAGATATCTACATATTTCCACGGTGTACCGCGTTCCTTGCATATGTAATGCGCAATATCTCCCTGATCTAGGTGACGCATGGAATCTCTTTCTGATTCACTCGGGAAAATCTCAAGGCCAATGCAAGGTACGAAACGCATTTCAACATTCCTGGTTCTATTTGAAAATACACTGGTGATACTACTGACTGATAATACTGGTGATATGACTTGAAATTAAAATTTTCGGGTAAAATTTGTAGAACTATTTACATATTAATAAGATCTATTATAGCTTATAAGCTGTATATTACAGAGCGGAATAACTTAGTAGATTAAATAATGATTTTAAGTCCATATTTGCCTGTATGTCAATCAAAACCTACAGTTGACTTGAGTATCTACAACAATTCATAGTAAGACCTAAGCAAACGATGGCCTAAGGTCCAACGATGCGAGGGATTGAAACTGTTTACTTGGAAAACCTGCTACGAATACAAAAGTGGTGATTTTCTGTAAACGATTTATTTCCTACGTGAAAATTTAACATTTCGAACTTGTTAAACCTTAACACAAGTGCTATACATCGGATACTTGTGCGATGTTATTCCTTTATAACAATAACTTGACTGAATTGGAAGTTAAAATGTAATTGCGCATACTGAATATTAGTATAGATTTTAATTTGAAGTGATATTTGCGGTATATATTTATCTGAGGCAACATTAAAGTTAATACAGTATTTTTTTTTATTTCTACCGCTTTAAATACGTCGTTCAATAATTGGCACTTTATAACAGTCGCTATTCTCTACGAATAATATAACAAAGTTGAAGGGAGCAATAATAAAATCAAAACCAACTCTACCTTCTGGACCGATTTTGAATATTATTACCCCCTTGTAAAAGTATATATATAATATCTTTACAATATTTTTATAGAGTGCTTTATAATTTGAAACGTTAGTACGGACTACGGCAGGCTGTAGTCGCAATCGATAGAAAGAGCGCATGCGTCCTGCCACTACACGCCAACCCCTTTCCACTTCCCTGGGGCCATCCTGAATAATCTGGTATGCCTTATTGGCAAAGTTCTGGAATTCTCTACACTTCACGTATTACGCACACACAAAAGCACCCATAGCTGTCAAAGAATTCCCATATACTGACTTTAGTTATTGTATAGATTAGATTTTATTGTTACTGCGAATTTCAAATTAATTAAAATTGAACCGACATAGGTTGGTTGGTTTATTTTCTTGATACTTATTTACCTTATATGTATATAGGGAAGGCTTCCCCCACACTACGAAATTGTATTTTTACCTTTTTAACAACGATGACGTAGTAGACAAGAGAATGATGAAGCATTTTTATTATCCAAGGTTTACCTATTTATAGAAAAAAATGTAATCGCTATAAAGTGTGGAAATATACCTTTTTTCTACAAAGACGTTATAAGTTCCTAAATCATCTATATTTTTATATTTAAGATAATTTTATTAGAAACTACAAATAACCATGTATTCACTTTAGATTATCCAATCTGGTCAGTAAGTTCAACTCAAAAACGAAGACAAATATTACACAAATAAAATCAATCATCATTTATATAGTAATATATATTTTATATACACAACGTAGTATATATTATATATACGTAACTTATTCATTCTTATTTTTATTATGACGCTTAATTTGCCCTTTGCCTTACTTGAACACAAACGAAAGTAGGACTTATTTGTTGATAAAGATTTTTTTTTACAACTACTACATGTAGTTAGTAGTAGTTTGTTCCGCAAAACAGATCGCGTTACCCGCTCAAACATAACATTTGCTTACAATTGTATCACAGTATTACATACATCACGTGTCTCATAACAATAACACTCGCAGGAAATCACTGTGTCATTGTAGAACGGATTCAAATAAAAAAACAACAGCCAACAATGTATCAAGTTGCTCGCTTTTAAGGAAGTATAAATTACGTTTTAATTTTGATATTCATTACACAAATTAAACTTCGCTATTTGAAACAAAAATACCATTTACTGTTTTCGTTCATTGATTACTTTTTCTTATACGCAAGTTATTAGCCTTATGTCTCTGATACATCTCCGTATGCTTTCGATATTTTTCTTCGAGTGAAAATAGCGCATAAAGGAAACTCCATACCTGGAGTTTGAATGCATGCGTTATATCGTGTACCCTAGCACTAGGCTAATTAATCTAGATTCATGTCAAAAGGACTAGAAATCTTTATATTGATTACAATAAAAACTTAATATTAGACATCTATTAAGCCATTTTTTATCAAACACAAACAGCTGTAGATTGATAAAATGCTGAGACTGATTAAACTTAAGTAGGTACTCATGTGTTTCTTTTCATAGCGACGTAAACTCAATTTGAGAGAGAGAGAGAAAAAGTACTTTAGTTAATACAATAAGCCTAATTTAGGTTTTATGAATGAGGGGGAAGTTATTCTACATGTACGTACGTACTCTCTGAAATATATAATAAGACGTTTTAGTCACCACCATTATCAACACAACGATAGCAACTTGCTGTCCTAAAAATAGCATGGTATCATTAAAAGCACTGATAGATGTGTGGTATTTCTATAATTATTGTGTACACATGTCACTGAACTTTTCCATCAGAGCCAGTCTGTACATTTCTGCTCACTCGGGATTTTTATACGTGTTGTGACTGTCAAACGGTTTTCTTATGTTATTATCACTGATATCTTTTGTTTTATCTTGAAAAATTTGTCCTCACATTCTCGTCTGGAATTAATAATAGCCAAAGGCGTACTATATAAATATATTTATCTGTTGGTTCCGACGTTTTAATAGCTAATGTTGTATAACTTGTTTTGTTACAAATGTAGCTTAGCCAATCCAGACATAGTTACTTCCGGTTGTCATTTCATAGACAATGCTCGTAATGTGTCGTGGGTCGTCACAATGCATCGTCAGGATATGGCCAATACTACTTGTTAACAATTTCCTTATAACGCTTTATTTCTTTGAACCCCATAGTAGTTTGGAACATGTTGACATAAGCTTTAGAAACGTTTTGGCCAAGTAAAAATATTGATTAAACCATTATCAACCTATTAAATTCGGATATCAGCGTCTAAGTTTGAGCTGGAAAAAGTCCTACAAAGAATGGAGGAGGCAATTACAATAAAAGTATAAAGTGTACTGTATCATTTGTGCTACATAATCGTGTATCAGGCAATCGTAAAGATAAGAAGCGTCGTGATTGATGGACTCCGGTTAAATTAACACTGTCAGCTGAAACGTCACACGAGTCAAGGTTAAATCTATTGGAAGTGTTAGTCTAGTGATAATTGACAGTTAATCCTATTATAATGTCTATTCACTATATTTAACACCATTTAAACCTTCCAGCTTATCTGAGTGACGCTTTTATTAAAGTCCCCTGATAGATTGTCTCCTATAAAAAACTATTAGGTTATATTAATGTTAGTTTACGTAGGTTTCGTAAGTTGAATAGACTTTGTTAACAACAGGCAACGTAAGGCGGTCATGAACGGATGTTTTGTCAAATGTGGTGAGTATACGAGTACATCCGGGAAGCCTCCGCAATGCGGTCTTGATACTACATAATATAAGAATATTAGCTGTAAATAACAAAGTCAGCAATCAGTGGTAGAGCAATTTCCTGAATATAGGGAACACGTGTTGGCCAGGATTTTATACTTCGTACCGACGGCTCTACGGTCTACATACGTCACAGAATAGCGCTGCAATGCGCCAAGCACTAGACTCGAGGTCATCATGCCACTTCAACATGAGTGCTCTTCTTATTCCAAACCCTTAACCCACATCGACCTTAAACCTTCCAAGAGAACACGCTCTTTTCTACCCTTAGTGTCAAAGTAATTTTCTTGTAACGAATACTAGTCGGAATCGAATAGAAAAGGTACTTGATAATAAACAAGTGTTTCTAAGTTTGTATAGTCTGTCTCGTGTCATTCCAGCGTCAATTTGAAAGAACTCTACGTACGCGTGTTTTAAAAAGATTAATAGAACTGATGTTGTTTAAAGAAATAAGTGTTAAAGTTCTCGGTAACGTTCTCTCCTAAAAGCTTTTTACGTCATAGGTGCTAATAAAAACACTATGTCCTCTGACGTCAATATTTCGTTACATTTAATTATTTACGCGTACGTAAGCTGATTTAAATACGTTTAAACAACAAATAAGAGAGAATAATTATTGTATCGCTAGCCAAACTAGGAACAAATTCGTGATTAAGTTTTGCATATAAATTAGCAATGTTGGCTGGGTTAGTGCGCTTGTAACTCGCTCGAACGGTGAAGGAATACATCGTAAAGAAACTGGCTGGTCTTAGACCCAAAAAGTCGACGGCGTGTGTCAGGCACACTAAGCTGATCACCTATTTGTCTATTAGTTTGACAAATTATCATGAAACAGATACAGAAACCTAAAAAGGTTGTAGTGCCACTGATCTATGATCAATTTACCTGGTCATTTTAGTCTTACTGTTGATCATTGATTTACACGTCTTCGTAATAATTGTTTACAAACTTAGGGGAGTAGAAAAAAAATTCATTTTATTTGTACTCTGTCGACCAACCACATTCAACATTTCAAGGACATTGCCTTACTCGCAAGTACATACGAGCCGCGCTTCGCGAAATTGTTCACGCCAATTTCGATTTAACAGTTTTCATGTTAGGTATTAAATTTTGTTATCGTCTGCGTTACACGTGGTTCGACTCGCGGCCAGTATATGCCGACCACTTACGACATGCGTGAGAGTTAAGAGTCGCGGTGGATTTTGTAAGTTTTTATTATTTTGGCACGAACGAGTAGCCCTGACATTTGATACGCACGCGATTGTTACTGTTTTATTCGTCACCTTTTGAATATTCAGAGACGCAAAGCTTGTACAGGGAGTTTGTAGTGCTTGTAGTTTGAAACATAAAATTGGACATCGATTGGTATATCTAAGACCGTGCCACCGCCACAGCTACTGGTTGTGGCTAAAACTGAAATTATTATTAAAATAACGGGAATGGGTATGTCATGCGATAGTGGACATAAAGCATATAAAGTTAACACCATATATGTAATGTATTTAAGATATAAAAAAGTATTTTCTCGTATTATTACTTTATTGAATCATAATAAAAGAAAACTGCTATGAAAATTGGTTGTATAGTGTACTCACTTCACATGCTACGCAAATGTTTATTCGACTTACCGGCTTAGTGTTATAAAAAATAGCGATAACTTATATTTGCCCGTATTACGTCGTTTACGTCAGAATAAACTGATAAACAAAACACAGCACTTGCGTTTTTTGCCTATTGACATGTTTTAATAGAATTCAATTACAATAAGCAGTTACAATAAATTGGATAGTACAGTCATTGAAGCGATACAACCTTAAAAGTTAATTAACTTGCCTTTTGTATTAAATATGTAGTTTATTCATTGAATGTTACTGTATTCACTTTATATTACGTAATTGATTACGCTAAATAGTATTGCAACTTAAATAATGAATGACAAAATTTTGATTTGCTCAATAATTGTCAAAACTTATAGATAATTTGCAATTGTTGCAGAGACTACAGTACTGAGTGAGGAGAGTGGTCGGAGTGTGGTCGCAAGTAAAGCCGGCTGTCGACGAGCGTGCATGACGCTTCACATAACTAGCAATACTGCCCGCAGGTTAGATACGTAAGCATACACACATTACACACTGTTTTGCACTTCTTATTTAATAGGGAAAGTTCTTAAGCGCAATAATACGCTGATTTGCGAAATTGTAAAAATAGATCATTTCGGGTTTTGTTGGCAAATCCTTGTCGATGACTAGCAAATATTTTTAAACCCATGTTAAACTATTAATTTCTGATACGGCAAAGTGAAATAAGTTAGTTAAAAGTGAGATTTGAAAGAATGATAGCGACCGGTTTGGTTGCGTCAGTAGTCGCGACGCTATATGTTGCAGAAGATCAAAGTTTTGCAGTAACAGACATCGGAAGCTGCTGCCGCTGCGGCAAACGTGACTGGCGCGCCCCGCGGGTGCTCCCTGCCCGCATGCCCTTTTAGACGCCACCGAGCGCGGTGAGTCTGTAACTATCTATCTATCTATCTATCCTCAGACAAACATATGCCCAAGAATGATAAGACCAGTATGCTTAGGGAGCGTTCAAGTATTGCGTAACAAATTTGGGGGGGTTCCTTTTGTAAAACGTTACTATGCAAGGCGGTAACTTTTAAAGAGTCAGTAGGTGGTCACGAAACGTTTTATTATACTTGGGTACAGAAAAACGTTACGGCGCGTTACATGGGGGGTCAATAATCTCCAAAAATTGCGTGACGTAATACTTGAACGCTCCTTTAGCTGTAGGTGTAGGCAGTCGTCGAGGTCATTGCTTAAAATGCACCATGCCCGGGACGCGCTAGTCACAATACTTCGTAATTTGATCTTAAATTTAAATAATTATATTAATAATAATTGAATTTTCCAGATCCAGTGTCAAAAAGAAACCGCCTCTGGAATAATTAGTTAGAATAAGAGATAGTATAATGGGGTCCTTAAACGTGAACCGAAATGTGGCGGACGCGTTCTACCGCTACAAGATGCCGCGCATCTGCGCCAAGGTCGAGGGGAAGGGGAATGGCATCAAGACTGTCATCGTCAACATGATTGAGGTGGCCAAAGCGTTGGGACGACCTGCTACGTGTAAGTATTACGAAGGGTTTTAGGCCGGCAACGCAATCGCGAGCCCATTGGGAGTGTCTATGGGCGGCGGTATCACTTAACATCAGATGAGGCCTCCTGCCCGTTTGCCCCGTGTTCTATAAAAAAAGAGTTTAAATGAACTTTGCAGAAACAAAGTTTGATCCAATTCAAGTATTTATGCAAATATATAATGTTAAGTAATTTCTGTGTAACTATATTACTTTTGTAAGACAATTCAATTACATATTTGCTTAACATTTTGTTAATTAACACTTACTATTTTCCAGATCCGACCAAGTACTTCGGTTGTGAGTTGGGAGCTCAGACGCAGTTTGATTTCAAGAATGAGCGTTTCATTGTCAACGGAAGCCACGACTCTTCGAAACTGCAAGATCTTCTCGATGGGTAAGTTTAGGAAATACAAATTCTGACTTTATGTTGTATGTGTATATTTATGACAGTTCACTTTTTAGTATAGCTAATATTTGTTATTTTTGTTGAAATTTGGCCATGTATAATAATATAAATAATATATAAATAAATAAATGTACCATATTCTTGAAAAACATAATAGACGGATAAATGCCTCCTGCTGGTAGAGGACAAGTCTTTGTTTTTAATTTATTTTATTATTATTAATTACTTAAGATGTCATGTGGAACATGGTGTAATGGTTGCAGCTCCTTACAAACGTTGTGTTAAAAAAACATGGCGATTAAAAAGAGTGGCGGAGAGTTTATTGCCAGTTCTTCTCTTCCATTCTACGCCCTTGATTTGAGAACTGGCACTAAATGTAAAGTTAGAAGCATTTAATATATATTTCTTTTTTGACGTTAATAAGTGTACATTGTGTTACCTATATGAAGAAATGATTTTTTACTTGACTTGACTGAAGTCTGTCAAGGTCTGTAGGGCTTAGTATTTTTAGGGGAATGAATTTAAATAATATTTGATAACGCGTTAGCAATTTAAGTATGGTATTGTAAATTGTTATCAGTGGTAACCAGCAAATTTAAAATGGAAGCAAATATTAAAAATTTAATTTAGCCTATTCTTATATGTTTGTTTCCAGCTTCATTCGCAAATTCGTGCTGTGTCCGGAGTGCGACAACCCAGAGACGGAGCTGATAGTGTCGACGAAGCGCAACACGATATCGCAGGGTTGCAAGGCTTGCGGGTACCACGGCCAGCTGGACTTCAACCACAAGCTCAACACCTTCATCCTCAAGAACCCTCCGGCGGCAGACCCGGCCATGCAGGTGACCGTCCTGGCCATTCTCCTCGTTGCATGCGTACTTGTATTTCATAAAATGAAGATGTTCACGACTCTTTTTTATAAATGCAGGGCTCATCTCTAACGGAAGGCAACCGTGGAAAGAGATCCAAGCGAAGTGGACCAGCCGCTAACGGAAACCACGATGGAGAAGCAGATGCTAAAAACGTTAGTATTCTTCGATATAACTATATTTTTAAATGCACAGAATATAAATTACAAGTGGAATTGGTTATGTTAATCTGTCTTTGTTTTTTTAAATTATCGGTGTAAAGTTTACTTTATTTCTCAACGAATTACATTCACTTAGTGAAAAATTTAAGAGGTTAGTGATGTACATCCTTTTGAAACTATTTAATAATAAGCCATTTAAAATAAAAATATTAGTTGCTAAGAATATGTATAATATATTTTTACTGAAGTAATTATTAAATACATATTAAATTATTTAAAGTTAAATCCTATAACAAAACAAAACAAGTATTAGGGAAAAGCAAACTTCCATAAATAAGTTCATCACCGAAGTAACAGGCACCTCTGTTGGTTGCGTACAGTTTTAATGTAATAAGTACATTTCTTTATATTGCATAACTTTTATAATAATACATTTTCAACTAGATTTACCAGGAAACATGTGTAACATGAGTGTTTCGTCATTTCAGGAAAGTGACGCCCCCATAACCCCGACCGCGCCCAACCCCAGGAAAGAGAAGAAGGAGAAGAAAAAGGATGACGACGACGACGATTGCAACTGGACCGTCGACGTGAGCGAGGCTGCCGTTAGGGCTAGGATGCAAGGTAGGGTTGCATCATTTTCACTAAACAAGTATAAAAATTAAGACAGCTAAGTAAAAGTTAAAAACTTTTAAGATAACCAAAATATATTTATAGTTCGACTTTCTAGACTTCCCACTACCACGAGATCGGTATCTACGCCGGTGAAACCGCGGGGCATTGCTAGTATAGTATAAATGTAGTTAAATTGAATACTCGTGTACGTATTCCAGATCTGACGGAGGGCGCAAAGTGTATGACCGTGTCCGAAGACAGCGAGAAGAACGAAAAGCAGCGTATGGACTTGTTCTACTCTTTCCTCAAGCAGAAGGCGGACGCTGGAGATCTGCAAAGCAAGGCCATCAATGAGATCATTCACGAAGCCGAGAGGCTCGACGTCAGGTAATCGATACAAAGGTTCTTTTTTGCTTTAGGGCGAGGCTCCAATTCCAATGTTTCGACATATAATAATAATGACGTGTCGGAACAATCAGGTCCAAGGCGCCGCTGGTGGCGTTCGAGATCCTGGTGCGGGCCAACAGCCTGTCGGGGGACGTGCGCAAGCACCGCACGCTGCTGCTGCGCCTCGGGGCCCTCGACCCCCGGGCCCCTCGCGCCGCCCTGCACGCGCTCACGGCCCTCGTGCACCACAACCCCACGCTCCTGCCGCGCGTGCCCGCCATTCTCAAGGTACGGAAAACGCATCTAGCGATCCAAACTGAGTATCTTATGAAATTCATAGTAACAATATGTGAGTGTTTTATTTTAATTGTCATTCACGTAGAAATTAAATGTCTAATGATTTTAATAATCTCTTGTTACGAACTAGGGGATTGGATAGAGAACGCCGTAGACCTCTTCAAGAATGTATTACTAAATAAATCAACGAGGACTTAAATAACACTAAAGAGACAAATTACGCGCAAAAATACGCTAATTGCGACACACAAAATACTGTCATATCTCTTTGAATCGCACTCGAAAATGAAATTTCGGGTCGCATTTCGGTCCGTTTATATATCCCTGGGAATATTCTTGAACGACGTTCGAGAACTCTCTAGGCAGGATTGCGACTGAGTAGCGATTGCACAATTCTAGAACGTCCGTACTGTTTATCTCTTTCGCCCATCGTTTTGTCCTTTTCGTACGGCGTTCTAGAATGTTCAGTCCGGCTTCGAGAAGTTTCCGAACTTCCCTCTCTTTCGCGTATCATTCGTCTCACACTTGAATTTATGAATATAAACATGTATCGCTCGTCTACACTTGCTCTGAAACAGACTGCAAATGTTTCTGGAATGAAATAGACCGCCTCTTGGAAAAACCGAAAAATATTACAGTCAACTCGTCTTCGTAACACCATTTTGATATAATTTTATTACAACTTAAGATCAAAATTGATGAAAATTGAATGTTAGCCATAACGTTTTCCCAGCTCTTGTACGATCTGGACATAGTAGAAGAAAAGACCATCATCGAATGGGGCGCGAAGCCTTCCCGCAAATATGCCTCCAAGGAGGTCGTGGCGGATATCGCTCGTCGCGCACAACCTTTCATCGACTGGCTCCAGCAGGCCGACGAGGAAGACTCCAGCGAAGACGAAGAGGACATCGAGGTATTATTAATATTCCGGCTCGGAGAACCAAATCGTTAATTATATCTTGTTCATATTGTTATCCAAGTGCTTGGGCATGTGTATTACAAGCGTTAAGGGTTTAAAACTTACTGTTAGATCCGAGTTCGATTCCCGGTTTCTCGGTAATAAAAGGCCAATGTACTCTAACGTACTAGTTATAAACAAAAGGGTTATATTTTAGCTAAAATGAGTGACATCGTAATTGAATATTCCAGATTGAATACGACGACCGCGCAAAGGCGACTCCCATAAAGGCGGTCAGTGCGGCTCCTCCCAAACCGGCGCAGAAAGACGAGGACGGAGACATCGACGTCGACATCGATGCCATATAGACAGCACTAACCTCACGTCGACCGTGCTTCTTCTCTTCTCCCTCCTTCTACCGGCTGAACTTCACTTCCGCACATTGGCTTATAACATTCTAATCTTCTCGAAATCTCCCGAAGCACGGTCGACGCCCTCGGCCAGACCCCGTGTACGTTAAGTCATTAGAATTTTTACAAGTCATTAAATCTTAATGTAAACAAATATTTAATCTAGCGCTTCGTTAGGAATTAAGTAATTCGTAAATTGTATCTCCGTGGACGCTCACGTACTCGAGTTCGATGTCTATCGATAAAAACTACTTTAGTAACGTAGAGAAGATATTAAATATATGAATATATTCTTTTTGCGTGAATTGTGTAAAAATTGACTTTTCTAATTGGGTTTTGACGTTTCAATCGATTTGACGCTATCGCAGTTTTTATTTGAGGGTATTTACAAAATATGTGATAAACCTAAACGTCACAAAGTACCGATTGTACTATTTGATTTGTATGAGTTTTTACGTTTTAGTATTTAATTGTGAATCGGTGACGTCGGCGGATTATTGACGAGCATTTAACGAGGTCGTCGATTTATATTATATTGGATTTTGGGCGAGTTTACAAATTGCCGAAGCGGTTGCGGGCTCAAGAAATATGTTCTACTCGGCAAATGAATATACAGGATGTTATGTAAATGTCGCAGTACTAGGAAGGTAACGCGAAAGAATTAAAACACTTGTAATACCAGGACACTAGAGTAGATTAACCCGAGCTGTCCGTCGCAATCTGAACTCGCCCGAGCCGTGCGAGCGTTCACTTCGAAATATTCCTAGATTATTTTAAAATTGCCACCATTATTAGATTTGTTTTTATTCAATACATTTGAAGTCGAATATTGTTGTTTTATTTTTAGTGTTATGAGTTAGTGATTTTGAGATAATTACGATGAAATACTTGCTTAATAGAAGAGTTTTTGAATAGATATTTATCAACATTGATTTTAAGTACGTATATAATGTTTAATTAAAATATATATAAAATAACAGAATAGCCTATTGGAATTAAAACAACTTTACCAATATATACAAATAAATATACTTCAATAAAAATATCTTAATTAAGTAACATTCGGTTTTCAGATTTCTGGTACAAGATCAAGATTTACATGAGATTCTTATTATAACTTATTCTTATAGTAAATGCATATAAAACAGTCGAGTGTATAATATTGGGACATTTCGAGCGACATTTTTAAGCTTTAAGTTATATCAATAGAGCAAAACTAGACATTGTAGTAACAACAATATATTCTCTGTGTCTTTGTGACTTTAAAAAGTTATTTAAAATTTAAACACCCACAGTCATAACTACACCTACAGTATACTTAAATAGTTTAGTTGACAACAAAGCGGAACTGAGTTTATGGGTTTGACATTAACCCACTGAAAAATTTCATTAGATTATATCGTCTAGAGATTTCTAGTCCCTTCAAACTATAATAATAGCACCTTAACATGAACTAAACTTATGTATAGTCAAATACTAAAAAAATCAATATCAAAAACTTTAGCAACACTCCATTGCTTATTTGGAACTTAAAAAAGTACATTTGAATAATATTCGTAAGATACAAGCTCCGTGTTCGTTTGCCTACTAAAGTTAAGATATGTACTAGGTACGTATTCGTTTGAGATATTGGATACAACCAAAACGAAAAGTTTAAGCTAAAGGTAACTATCCCATTACAAATTGGAAACCAAGATTAAAATAATTAGCTAATTATCCACTACCGGTTGAAGCTACCACCACAGAAGTCCCTGGAACACCCGGAGTGGCCACACTAAACGAAGTTATGAACACATTCACTATTGTTATCAGAAACACGCCGAGTACCGTAAAGTTATTAATTTTGTCCGCCTTGCAAATGTCCTTGTCGTCTTTCACGTTGTATCTACTATTCATAATTAGACCCACACCGACAGCGATCTAAAAAGTTAATACATATGAGATTATAAATTAAAACCAAAACAAAATGTTTATTTTTATAAGCCACAGACAGTTAATCACTCAGTTTTAGGGATGTGACATTCTGCATAAAAAAATCGATTTTTTATTAATCGATTATTTTTGTAGCATGAATAATCGATTAATAAATAATCGATTTTTCTTAAAAAAATAATCGATTTTTTTTATTAATCGATTTTTTCCTAATTTTTGAATTAATTTCAAAATAAACACCCTAAATATTTTATTTTTCATAGTTTTTTAAATTAAAAGAAATTATAAACACAAATTAACGTTTAAGAATAATCAAAATCGAAATTAACTTAATCTCGTTTTGATATTTTAGGTGAAATTTGATAAATGCTTAGTTATGCCTTTTCAGTAGCAAATTGCAGTATTTTTGTTGTCTTTTTAATTGTATGTTATCTTGTGCTGCTGAATAAATTTATTTTACTTTTAAATTATAGTGTTCCATTCAAACTTGAGTCTTTGTACCTAAAATTAACTGGTTTTATCATCCTTTCGATGTTTTACAAAAAAACATCAATGCATCGAGTATATCAATACATCTTCAAAGAATCGTATTCAATGTATCGCATTCTAAACATCGATGTATATCAAATATCCGTAATAGTTCGAGGTCCGGGTTATAAAAGACCAGACATAATGTCGGGAGGTGGCAGATAAAAAATCGATTATGACTGATTTTCAATTATAAAAATAATCGATTATTTTAAATATAAAAATCGCGTAAAAAAATCGATTTTAATCGATTTTTACTTCTAAAAAAATCGATTTTAATCGATTTTTACTTCTAAAAAAATCGATTTTAATCGATTTTTTTAATAATCGATTATTTTTTCACATCCCTACTCAGTTTAAAGACGATAAATCTATCAGTGAAACAAATGCCAGCTACGAAGCTTGGTTAGGTCATAAAAAGAATATTATCGTTTATATAGAATTTGTTAAGTGTTTCTTTATCGTCCATCTTTTTAAAAGGGTTATTCTTATTCCGTATAAAATATTCATGTACTAACCTGTAAAACAATGCTCATAGCAATAAAAGTAAGACTAGGGTAGTAGTAAGGATGCGAAGTTGCAGATTCCAGCACATATCGAAGTTGGTTCGCGTTGGCTGAAAGTAGTGCCAGGTCCATCATACCTTGAGCCAAGTTTTTCTTCTGCTGGTAGGTGTTTACGTCGGGGATAGACTGTGACAAAAAGACGAAGGTTGAGATTAACATACAGCAGTGTATACTTGCCTCCGTGGATTATTGAAGCATATTGTAAACCAAAGCCACGGTCCAGGTCGATTTTCGTTAAAACAATACTATTGGTAGTAGGTGGTTAGTTACCTATTTCTCTTTTGATTCTGGGACTGTGATTAACGGTTGATTTATTGACCAAATTAAGACAAGCGTTTAGAAGCTGGAGGTCCTGTTCCAATCCCGGCGAAACAATGATTCCAGGAAGAAGGCATAAAAGTAAAATATAATTGTAAGCGTCGCCTAGTCCAATTTAACCCCAAGAAGACACAAGTTTGCGCGTTTTCCGCTAAAAACACCCTTTGTCGCTACTCCTCTTTTCGAAGACACTCTTCTTAACGCCACAGCCAGCATTGGAATACTTGGCGTTGACTTATCGAACGACTTTCAGTTTCGCGGTCACTTGGAGGGAAAGGCTAAATTAGCCTCCAAAAAGCTTGGTGTGCTCAGCAAGGCGAGACGGTACTTCACTCCGGGCCACCGCTTGCAACAATAGAAAGCGCAAATTCGGCCCCACATGGAGTACTGTTCTCACCTCTGGGCGGGGGCTCCCCAGTACCAGCTCCTTCCACTTGACCGTATTCAACGAAGAGCGATTCGAATCGTCGACGTCCGATCCCTCTCCAAGCGGCTTGATCCTTTGGCGTTACGTAGAGATGTGGGGTCACTCTGCATCTTCTACCGCATTTACCATGGAGAGTGTTCAGAGGAGTTGTTCGGATTAATACCTGCAGCTGAGTTTTATCATCGAACGTCGAGGCAGAATACGAAATTCCACTCGTCGTCCGTCATTCCACAACTGAGCGTTTTTCAAGGCAGTTTTTGCTGCGCACCACCACTTTGTGGAACCAGCTGCCCACTGAAGTATTTCCAAACCAATTCGACTTAGGGTCCTTCAAGAAAAGAGCGTACCAATTCTTGAAAGGCCGGCCACGCACTCGCGAGCCCTCTGGTATTAAGTATCCATGGGCGGCGGTATCACTTACCATCAGGTGAGCCTCCTGCCCGTTTGCCCCCTGTTCTATAAAAAAAAATTAAGCTTAAACCTTAATATAAGATTAAATATTAAAACAGATTTAAAAATAAAGAAGATTGTATAAATATAATATATGAGAAAATAAACTTAAAAGGCATTTTTAACTTACGCCAGGTATCGGGGAGCCGGGCCGATCATCAACGTTGAACCTGTAGCCGAAACCGTTGGCGCCATCTGTCCATTATGAAAGTATATTATTATTTATAAAAGATATAATTCATGTATTTGTGATGAGCCTGCTTATGTGTAGCTTTATGTTCTGAAACAGTTATACTTCTTTTCACTTGTTAACCGTATCTTTTGCCTTTTAGTACGAATATCATTTATTCGTTTATGTTATTGTACAACTACAAGTATTTTTTATTATAAAAGTGTTTAAGTTAAACTATATTAGCCGATAACTATCTCGATTCTCGACGTTTTTGTAAGCAATTTCGATGTAGTTCTCTCAATATCCGTAGCGCTAATGTCGCTTTGGGATCGCGCTATAAGATCTACAGACTATCGTACAGGGGACTTAGTCAAGACTTAGTTAACAGTAGTGTATGTAGAAAGGCGAAAACTAAATTTTTATGGAAATTGCAGACAAATTTTCATACAAATTTTGTTTTCGATCCTCTTTTTCAGATCCTCTTTCTTTCTCCGCGTGTATTTTGCTGTGAATCAATTTGTTTGTGTATTGAAGACGTACGTACAGGACAACGTCTGTCGGGTCCGCTAGTGTCACATATTATCAGACCTACCTACAGTAAAAATGTTATAAATTCCCAAGTGATATAATTTATGATTCAGGCCGCTGTTTTAAGTCTGCCGCATAAATGACACCTTAATACGTAAAGGCTTAGAGGATATAATTTATTTTAATATATACCTAAAGTAACATTTTCAACTTGCCAATGTTTTAATTATTCTTGAATCAATTGAATGAAAATAATAACAATGGGATATGCATACATTGAACAGAACCAAGTAATCGATTACTTATGCACACTTCCTCATTAAAATGCACCTATTTGATGATTATCAATTCAATATGATGAATCAGACCCTTTGTAAAAGATTAGTTGATAAAACTTATATAGAAATTCAAACGCTTGCCAATTGCTTGCTCTAATAAATAAATGAATCATGTTTTTGGTTTAGTGACATAAATATTAACGACGATTGGAAGCTAATGATTGACTAAGACAAACTCACGTAAACAATAGCTCAAAGTCATATTATAAATTGCATATAAAATATAAAATTATCCTTAATAAATAAACTGATTAAGACAAATTATAATAATAACATGCAGATAAGATGCATTTTATTATTCACAAGAAACATTCTTGTGAATAATAAAAAAATAATAATCGTGATCATCATGCATAGTATGTTACGGTGTGTATACAATATACTTTATTAATAAATATTTCAGAGCTAGCCGAAACCAAAAATCGTGCATAGGTGAAAAGAAGATATGATAAGGTTCCTCAATTGATAGAAATATCGCTTAACATGCACATACCACATTTTTATAAAACGTAAACTAAACCGTGCTCATTAAATTGTTATCTACCATATTAGATGAATGGTTACCATGGTCATGTTTAGTCGACGTTTTATAATAAAACCCCTAATATATAAAGTATATACTTTGCCCAACTATCCGTAAACCATATTTTGCCTTTCAGATGACTTTCGGTTTTTACAAAAACATTTTCGTAACGTGAGAAATCTGATAATCATTATTGCAGGTCCATTATTAAAAATAAGCATCGAATATTTAATTTGTAAAATAAATAATTGTCAAGAACAATTGAACTACACCTTGTACATTTAATTTTTAAGATTTTTTTGAAGACTGCTCTAATCTCATTGCATCACTTGAGCTTAAATCATGAATTAATGAATGTTTCAATATTTTGAAAATGCCTATAGGATGTGTTTAGTGTGAGTGCACGCCAATCACCGTAAGGATAGTCAGGCTCGTCGGTGTCTGGATAAGGCCATTTACCGTCGACTGTACCGACGCCGTCTTCGCGCGTCGAGTGGTCGGATCCTTCGTGCTCAGGCTTTTCGCTGTCGTCTGTAATTTTTAGAACATGTATAATGTATATGTTGGTTTTAATAACAGTATTCTTATCAATTTACTATTTAATTCTGTAGCTAAGCATAAAGCAGGGCTGGCGATAACTAAAATTACGACATCCTTTTCTTATATTATTCGAATGTATTATGTATGCATAAAAATACTTTGATTCCAAAACTACATGACCAATTTGACATAATATCAAGATTATTAAAGTCTATAAGTAGTATTAGATAGATTAAGTACAAATACATACCGAAATTATTAAATTACTTAAGCAATTAATACCATTTATTGTATGTATAATGTATATATATATATATTATATTATTTTAAAAGTTTGGTATCTGTGGCAGTGTAACAATTATTATTAATAATTTAGTTCTAAACAAGTCAAAGTTGATACCGCAAATTCTGATAATTTGCGGTCAAGAACGCATAAATAGGTTATATGCCACATCCTGTTTTTACTGATAACTAAATTGTAAATAGTGATATAACATATTATTTATTTTTATATATTTTTCAACAAATGCATAAAATTGAAAACATTCATCAGTTACATTATGTACTTACGTTAAGGGGTTGTCTGTTTCAATTATTTATTATTATGTGGGATTGTAAGCTCAAATCAAACATTTTAAATTAAGGGAATAATAAAAAAAACCCCTTAATTTAAAAAAAAATCCCTTTTTAAAACCTATTCTAGCAAACCCGATTTTAATTCACAATGGAACTTCATCAATTTCATTTTAATGTTTAACGAGTCTAGTGAAAATAAAAGTAATTTACGTTTCTCGTGCGGTTCCATTTTGTCTCCAGGTTCCAAAAGTCCATCATCAATGCCCGGGTATGGAGTAGCGTCTGCGTGGGGAATATCCAAATCGTCTATCTCTGGACCTTAAAGTAAAATAAATAGCGTTCAGTCTAGGCCATAACATTATTATGATGCTGTCTAGTTTACTAGTACTGCATATTTAAATAATACTCCTCTAAACGCTAATTATCACAAAACCCGACGTAAAGATGTTTCATTAAAATTTCTCATATATATATATATATAAATGAGAAGAGCAAATACATGTGCATTCACACACTCACACATTCACTCATACTTAATGTCTTATAAGACATAGTTGTAACACTAAATGTACCACGGAATAATTGTTTTCTCAAAACAGGTACTCTAGGGAGTACCTGTTTTGAGTAGCGATATATGAATTTTGTCACAACCCTTTTGTCAAATAAAAAGTTTTTATTATTATTATTTATACTTAAAACATTAATTGCTAATACTGTAAATGCAAACATTAATCTTCCGGACCACAACATCAAAAAGCCTACACTGACTTTTTATCTTTTATTAAGATAATCTAGATGGATCACAAGTGCCAAAGATTAGGTGGAGAAAAATGTAACCTTCTTCACAGATGTTGGTAGAGGCTTCAGCATGAACTTAACACAGAGTTTAAGAGTCAGGATTAAAACCCTGACTGTGCACCTATTTGCTTTTGGTCTATGTGCGTATTTAACACTAGCTCGTACGTTGAAGAAAAACATCGTGAGGAAACCGCCATGCCGAAGAACCAAAAAGTCAAGTATCAGGCACAGAAAGCTGATCATCTACTTGCCTATTAGAAATACACAATCTTGAAATAGATACAGCAATCCGGCCCACTTAGACCTAAGAAGTTGTAGCGCCTCCGGTTTTTTTTTTGGTAAAAATTACGTTTTCCTCTTGGCGTTCCTCATTACGAGTGCCAAATGTCGGTCACACTTATCAAGCAGTGAGTGTTTAGTACTCGATCTAAATATAATAAGATAAATCATGTCGTCTCGTATGACGGATACATTATAGGTATTTCAATTATTTAAATGCTTTTTCCTGTTCCCCACATTTCTCTTACAACTTTTCCTATCAATAATACATGTATCCTACCAATATTATAAACGCGAAAGTTTGTAATTATGGATGGGTGTTTGTTACTCTTTCACGTAAAAACTACTGAATGGATTTTAATGAAACTGTACAATAATATAGCTTATACATCTGAATAACACATAGGCTACAATTTATAAAGATATTGTGTCAATTGTCAAAAATATGAAGTGAATAGGAAAAAATCCTCGAGCTATTCTGGCGTGCGCTGCCAAAACCGCTATAGTTACACATATGTAATGTATGATGGAAATGTTATCTTAAAAAGTCCTACAAAAAGCCACAGTATATATCTATGTCTTATGTGTAATCCATTATAGCAAAAATAGTGAACCATTACTACAATAAAAATTGATAATTTGTTTCAAATGCAGTGCACATTTGGTAGTAAAAAATTGATTCTTAAATGAAAATAGATACTTTTATCGCTTCTGGTATTTACGGTAGATAATATAATATATGTCTTTCTCGCTACATCATTTGGATAAATATTATGTCGCAGATGAAGTCGAGGGCACCAGCTAGTATTATTTAATTTAACACAATATTAAAACGACATAGAAAAGTTTTTATTTGGGCTTCATTAAAGACATTATTTGTCTATGAAGGAAAATTTCTGTCGTTTTTCAACTTGACATTCTCGTGTCAGAAATCACATTGTTTTATAGATTCGCATTCTGCGCTTTTTTATGAACGGATGGCGTTCAGACTGACCAAAGTTCTATATAGTGACAACCTGGCCTTGAGAAAGTGGTGTTACAACTTGGCTGGGTTCAACAGGTATGGTTTAATGCGAGACGATTGTTTGTATGAAAACGATGACGTCATCGAAGCCATGCGGCGCCTCCCACCCGAAGTCCTGGATGAACGGACCTTTAGGATGCTGAGAGCAGCACAATATTCGGGAATGAAGAGGTTGCTGCCGAAAGATCAGTGGACCAAGTTTGAGGAAGACGTATTGTACCTCACCCCGATAGTAGACCAGGTGATTCGGGAGAGACTTGAAAGGGAGAAATGGGAGGAGGAATATTAATTTACTGCTTTATTGATGCAATAAATAAGTTTTTACTTTACATCGTATTTCCCTCTGTTCTCTTTATTAAAGTTTTTTATCCGTGTATAAACAACCCAGTGGCGATACAACTATTTATGAGCTCACAAATTAAATCCGCTTCTTTGATAATTTATATAAATTTATAAGTAGCCGTCTGTTTCAGAATCATGTCATTATTTTTTAGTCTAAAACGTGTCCTCACGATATTTACCTTCAACATACGAGCAAAAATAAATTGGGAACATACACATATCTATATACATATACAGCCTCCTTGTGATACAAGACCAATCATTGTTTTTAATTTACTTTATTATTATTTATTAATTAAGATGTCATGTGAAACATGGTGTAATGGTTGCAGCTCCTTACAAACGTTGTGTAAAAAAAACTTGGCGATTAAAAAGAGTGGCGGAGAGTTGCCAGTTTCTCTCTTTCGTTCTACGCCTTTTATTTGAGACGTAGCAGTACATGTAAAGTTAGAAGCATTTCATATTATGATCATAAGTGTACATTGTGTTACTTATATGAATAAATGATTTTGACTTTAATATACATATATAGTGCTGCACGGCTGTAATTCGTACGCACGACACCAGCGTTGAAAGTCGCACGCTTAGGCCCTTCGTCGTCTCTGCTTTTCTCCGTCTAGAATTATTGAAATGTTGTTTCTGGAACTTAAAATATATCTATTGAAATATTTTAAAAAGCTACCTGTAAGTGGTGGTGACTGTGGTTGTTTGTCTGATTCGAGCAGAGGCTGCGTTTGATGAGAACCTTCTGTTTCATTTTCGGTTCCATGCTTCTTGTCCTGTTGAAAGAAATGGTAATTCAATTATGTTGTATGTTATGTAACATTAAATTTATAAATAATCAAAGAAAGAGAAGTCGTGATTTGGTGCAGGTTTCCAGATTAGAATCTAAAATCATAGTTACTTAATATTATGTGTGTATTTTAAACTAGAGTTTTACTTATAATGTTAAAGGGCCAGTAACGCACTCGCAGCCCTCTGACGTTGAGTGTCCATAGGCGGTATCACTTAACATCAGGTATCATCATCATGCCTGTTTGCCATTTATATAAACAAAACCCAAGAACATAGACCTAAAGTAATAAATATTAGAAAACAATTAGGTTATTCGTCGAGCATATTTGCTTATCTTGCCAAAGTCGCGTAGAAATTATTTGAAGAAGTCTATTAAGTATGAGGGTGTGCAATTATTGAATCAATTACCCTGTAAAATTCGAAATATTAGCGCGTTTAACCAATTCAAAAGGGCATTAAAGAATGAGCCAAGTAGACTAAAATTGGGACAGCTGATGGCGACGTATATCTCGTTCCTATATACATATTAAGATTCTCATGTAAATATATTTTTTGTAATGAAAAACAAAGTTCTTTAAATATTATTCTAGAAGTTCCAACTTGAATTCCAAGTCCGCTAATACAGAAACTAAAAATTTACTTATGTAAAACGAAGCATAAATAAACAAAGGCGTTTCTAAACCATCACCTAGCTGCGGTCAGAAACCCCTGTTGTCATAGGTTAGTTATTAGGCCTTGGTTTAATTTTTATAATGACACATTCACAGGATTTACCCGATCACTTCCAATGATTCATTACTCTGGGTTATTGTTCGTAAACTGTTATTAAGTTATTACTTGAGCAAAACAATTTACCGCAATTGTTATTGTATTGCGAATTTAACGTGTAATCTATTGAGATATTAATTAATATGAATTTCTTTGTGTATTTGAAATAAATAATATATTTGTCGGTTAGATAGACCATAGATATTTTTTATTCATTTATACATGTGCACCACATCAAACATAATCTACTGTATATGTTACAAGGTAACTTTTCTAAAATATATGTCAGTTTATTTTGTTATATTCGCGAAGAATTCGAGAGAGGGGCCTGAACTTGTAGGTTTCTTTTTCTAGACGGAATTTGGAAAATTCTGCTGATTTTAAACCTTGGGAAAGAATAAGGGGCGACAATGTTAATGTTCTGTATTTGACCATTTAACAAATTGTATAAGAACGTAACACCGGCTAGAGATCTCCGATCTTTCAGTGACATCGTTTTAATTTTCTGATATTTTATATATTAAAACATCAAAGTATTAAATTTAATTTTTTTTAAACTATTATACAATACATTTTATTTACACAAATACAGTATTTACAATTTTCTTAACCTATAAAGTACCTAATAATAAAAATAATTAAAGAAGAAAGAAGAAAATCAAAACAAATTTAAAAAGTTTGGTCCCTGTGGCAGTGTACCTTTAACGCTGGTAGCATTTCCTCGCTGTATTGCGAGACTTATTCTTTGAGCCAGGAAAGTGCCAGCTTTGTGGTCACCGGTACTATCTACCAGGCGCCAACTTAAATCTTTAATAAGCGCCTGTGCACTTGAACCCCACGGCCCAAGAGTCTCTACTCCAAAGGGAACAAAATTTAAGTTGGAGGAAAGACTCTTATATTTGTGCCGTTTGTTAATTTCTGCCTGTTCTGCGGCCGCGCCAGCTTTTTTGCTTGTCCGAAGGAGATGAGACGGGGCAAAGGTGTCTACACAGCCCGTAGCATCCCATACTAAAGCCCGTCCCATTTTCCAAGGGATCAAAAACATTCCATCCGGCCGCTTGCCATCGTCTCTTGCGATGCCTGTTGGCTCCAAAATTGCTGGAACATTGACAGAGGCAAGAGAGCGGCGTATAATGTCGTTTAGCGCGGCATGGCGAGAAAAACGACCTGCACTCTTTTGGCAGTGTAGGCCATGGTGTCCAAGGCTACTTACTTCAAAACCACAGGGACACTTATGGGGAGTACATATGGGCACTCCTAAGCGGAGGCTGATGGCAATTCGAAGTGATTCAGGGTCTTAAAGGGTGCCAGTGTTTGGCGAAGGATAAGCATTAAGCCAATGTCCAGCTTCCCTAGACCCCACAGCCATCAACCTTGCACGGTCTGTTATTGGAATGTGACCTAATAACTTTTTGAATTCACATTTGCAAAGAGGATCATCCCAGCTCCTTTGAAAGTTGACGCTAGAAGGCAAACTCAAGCCTGGGTTGGATGCTATCCACGCGTTTCTTGCATCTGTTAAATCCGCAATCTCGTAGTTTGTAGAATAATATCTAAGGATTTTACCTACCAGACTGCTAGATTTGTGAGCAGATGAGAGAAACGCTGGAAGAGCTACACTTGTTTTCTTGCGTACTCCTAATCCGCCAAAGCGAACAGGAAGCGATGCTTGATTCCAAGAAGGTGTATCAAAACGAACATTTAAAATAGATTCCAAAGAAGTTTTTAAAAGATTATCCAAATCACTTAAAAAAACTGAATGATTCCATAGGGGGCTACAGCGAAGTACGTAAGTTAATTTGGGAATAAAAAGGCAGAATTTTAAAATGAACAAAGCTGAGTGTGCTGTAATATCCAGAAGACGGTGAGAAAGATCTTTAAATTTTGATATTGTCGAGTTAATGTATTCTTCAAAACCTTCTTTGAAAATCGGTGCTCCTAAGAGGTACAGCGATTTTTTATTTTTATATTTGGGGCTAAGGTATTAATTTTTTTTATTGTATGGTCGGTGTCCATATTCTCACCATGGAGATATATTTCACATTTATCAAAATTTAAAGTTAGACCCATTGAACTAAAATCTGATATTATCTTAGATAGATCTGAAAGTACTACATCTGCGTTACCTCCTAGAGTATTAAATTTAATTTTTAATAATGGACTATAAATGAATCTACACTAAACTTTTGCTCTAGTTCGAGAATTGCATTGAGAAGGGGTTCTTGTATTTCTGAATGTTTTTTGTTACTTTTAGACACATTATTGTGTAATAGATTATGAGATAGATGCAGCAACTATCGAAACAAAATATGTTTGAATAGAGTTAATATAGAGTAAAACTAAAATCCTCTATTATTTAAAACACCTTGATGACACAGGAACCCTACAGGCCTATTAAAAAAACAACTAGGTATATTACGATGTTCAAGTTCAGCGATTCCATTTCTTATGTGTGTAATGTTAAATATAGTTTAAAGAAAACTTCGGAAAAACCGCAAATCGTGCCATAAAAAATGTTGCATTTTTCCTCTAATTGATATTTATTACAACCGCTAAATAATATTGTGGTAATTTTTATTTCTCTTGCGTGTTGTTATTATAACAATTTCCTAAGTACTTGCAACATTGTGATTATAAAATAATGGATCTGTGTTAACCTACTGCCTGACATTACGTCTGGAGTCGTGCGTTTGAACGGTAGCTGTGCACCAATGGGATATCCTTCCGATTTTTATGAACAACTACAAAATCGGACGAGAGAATAACGTGTCTCAGATTGCTGAGCATCTATATAAAAGTATCAATCAAACCGATAGAAATTTGAGCATCCATTAAGATTCTACTTCTCTAAAACAATTTCGCGCCACATCCAAGACGCGACATAATATAAATCAGCAAAAAAACTGCCTTTCTTTTTTGGCATAACTATGGTAGGGTATTATATATTTTAGCATTATTTTAGTTTTTTATGTCATGACCAAATAAATATTATTTCAATTATAGCACAGTTAACAAATTAATGACCACAGAGTATGACTCCTAAGTTTACTATATTCGTATGTATAACGTCAGTGATCTTAAAGATACAATCATTTTAATGTTATTTCCTATTTATAGGCAACACGAGTTCAATGGTAACTACTATGGAATGTAGCTTTTGATTGGCTGCTTTTGCGGAAATATGTTATAGAAAGGGATTTGATGATGTATTACAGTATATAAGCATAAGACAATGAAGTTATCTACTATCAAAAAAGTTGAAATTCAACAGCTAAACCCAATTATTTGAATCCTCGAAAATTTATTAGTTTTACGTAATTTTTAGTATAAGTAACACAGAGACGTCTTAAATGGAGTATACAGAACCATCACAGATCAAATATA